AGATTTTAGCCTTGGCTGAACATTACACTTCAGATATTTCGTTTTAACTACTAGTGCAGAATTCAAATCGAACCCTTTCTGAAATCTGCCCGTTTCGCAGCGGTGCAAACCTGGATTTGAAATGATTCTGCCAGCTTCTCAAGCTCTGCAATCGAAATGCAGATTGGGAAATGATGGAATGCTTGTCATACAATGGCAAGTACTCTTGTTGTGACGTAAGCTCCCCTGGCAATACCCGAAAGAAGTCACTTCGTACCATTTCTGGAAATAGTTGGACCATGGAGTTCGCGCTTGCTTGAGGCCTCACTGCATTGTCCTGACACATCCAACGCATGAGTTCGGCCTCGACCGATCGTTAGTGAAAAGATTTGTTCTCGCATGTCTGTTCTCCGCCCGCAACGGACTCAACGGACAGTCCAGTTTCGAGCCTCGGCTGAACATTATACACCTCGGATCTTCGTTGCCATGTGTAGTCGCCATAATCAACTTCTGTAATTTGATGTCATGTAAAGGAGCCACATAAAAGTGATCACATGAAATTGTTGATGCTGAAGTGTGCGTCTTTTTGCGGTCGAAGGCACCCAGAAATTCAAAAAGCCGACCTTCACAATTTCTCGTTTTTTTGGTTTCTGTTGTCGTGAGTTGAAAAATGAGAGAACCAGCAAGAAATTTACCAGTTCACAGCCTTGCATAGTTATCAAGCTGTCATTTTCATGGTGTACATTCATGCGTGGTAATAATTTTGCAAAGGGTGTCTCATGGGTTTTCAATGCATTTTTGTAAAAACACAAGGCGTAAGAAATATGTTTTGTTGATTTCCAAGGCCAACACTTTTTAGCAGACGTCGTTGGATCTGCCCTCTTTCAAAAAAACGACCCAAACCCCGAAGCTCACGAAGCACACACGACGCGAGCAAGCACACCGGGACGTTAACATCCCCCCCACCCCACACAAAAAAAAACAAGAAAAAGGGGTTGCGTGACCAGTTGCCTGGGGACGGCGCTGGGTACTAAAATGGTCTAATTTTGGATGATTGTGCGGTATCCCTATTAAAGGAAACCTCCATAAATATAAATATTCAATATATATATATATATATGTATCATTAAATATCATTATATCACCCTTGTATCACCATTCTATCATCATGATTCTCCTATAGTTTTCATTTTTGTTTAAATAGTATCCATCACGTCCACCACGCTTCCAACGGCTCAGGGGACTCTGCCACTGCCTCTGCCTCGTTGCGCCGCCGCGGTGACGCGACACCGCGCGCCCGACCGGTGCCTGCGCCTGCGGCGCCGAAGAGCCAGGCCATGTGGGGCCGGCGAGGTCGATTTTCAATGGGAATATGATGGAAATATGTTTTATCTTTTATGGGGAATATCTAATGGATACCTATAAGCCATGAAATATGATGGGAAGTCATGGCCATCATGGGAACATCATGGAAATATATTTTAGAATATTGGAGATTTTACACTGGTGAAGATGACCATGGAAAATGTTTAGCAAATGGCCACTGTGGGGATTTACACTATTTAGATGACCAATGATTTACACTAGAATAAACCATGGAATATGTTGTGATTTCGTGGGGAATAGTGGATATCTATAAGCCGTGGAATACCATGGGAATTCATGGGAACATCGTAGAGGCAAATGATGATTTACATTGGTGAAGATGATCAGTTTATCATTGGATGTAAATATAATATGATATAATATTGATATTCCCATATGAAGGGATATATGAAACAATAAATAATGTACCCATTCAACATTAATATGATACAGTGGTTATTGAAGGGATGTAGTGACCCTTAAAAGGGTGCCAGGAGCACCGTCAAGTTTTTCATCACCGACGCAAACAGCTTGGCAACATGGACCATCCTGGTCAGCGTTCAATGGGTCTGGTTTTCATGTGGTTTTCATGTACACAATGTACAAGTTGTCCCCCCCTCCCCGTGGTAGCTTTAGTTAAAACTTTAAGTGAATACAACACAATATAACAAAATATAAATTGATTAACATAATATAACAAAATATACTGTAACATAAAAACTATAGTGTTGAATTCTGTTGAGTTCCATGATGTGATGGTATATTGGTATATTGGTATATTTTCGTTTTGAAAATCCGATTGTTTTCACGGGTCCAAGTTCGTGGCCCGGATTTATCCACTGATGGGATAACAATGGGTTAATAATAGTTTAGTAATACCCTCTGGTAAGCTAACATAACTATGGAAAATCACTATGATTAATGGGGGTAAATCAACTGTAAATGGTTATTTTCAATAACCATGTTGGTTTATCAGAGGGTAGGTTCTGAATGATTAATAATGGTTGATAATGGTTGATTATGGATTTATCCATTGGTAATGACTAACATATTGGGTTAATAATGGGTTAATAATGGATGAAAACGGTTACTCATGATATTCTCTCTTGGTAATTTGTTTCAGGTTGCTATTGAAATGACCCATTTAGTTCGTTGATTTACCTAACTTAAAGATTGTGAGCACTTTAAAACTGGGTGAACTAAACCATATACCAATGGAATTAACCACACACATTAACCACTTGCAGTTTCCGTATGGATACACAATGGGATGATTTTCCAACAAAGATACACCCCGCTTTGTGTTTCAACAACTCGTGGTTTAAAAACAGGAGAAAGATGAGGTGGAGAACCTTCGTGGCTCGGATGGCCAGGTACGTGGCTACGATCCGAATTGGGGCTATACCATCTGGTTATGACTAACAGTTTGCCATGGAAAATCCCAACCATAAATCAAATTTTCTAGCTGGGAAAATCATCTATTTCTATGGGCCATCTATACCATGGCTATGTTAAATTACCAGAGGGTATCACCTGAAACATAGGCCTGATATATATGGGCAAATAGGCCACAAATATATGGGATTGGTACCTCCAATTTCAATAAATCGGTTCCTGTTGCATGGCCATTGAGTAAAGAGTGGTGGTTTTGTGAACAATGATTCAACCGACAAATATAAGGGTGGGATTTCATAGGATTTTACAATCCAAGAATTGTGATTAAACAAGGTTTGACCAACAAACATGCTGGTAGAATTGGATCCAAGTGGGAAAATCATGGGAAAATCTGATCTATAAAAGTTGATCACCTCACAATTTGCGACGAATATTCAACCATCCCAAAGTGGTGGAAACCCTCTCTGCGGCATAGATCCCTTCACACAGTCAGACAGTCAGACATTGCTGGTGCGTTGGTTACAGTCACTACTGTAATGTGTATTACCCTCTAGCCGAAGAGTTTGCTATGGTGATGGCCCATAGAAATAGTTGATTTACCTATGACCATAGTGATTTTCCATAGCTATGTTCGTTTACCAGAGGGTATATTTACACACACACACTATGTGTCTGTTGAACCGTCATGTGGAATGTATTATATCATTGGCCATCACGGATGGCCCATTGTGAGTCGTTCACTGAATCACACCTCGAATATGTTTTAGGTGTTTCAAACGCTACTTTGACTAGCACCCTCCGGTAAACTAACACAGCTATGGAAAATCACAATTTATTATTTATGAAATAGGTATGTATCAACTATAGATGGGCAATTTTCAATAGCCATGTTAAATTACCGGAGGGTATTTCAGGGGGGAAAGTGGTGCCCATCTACATCTTCAGCAACCAGACTGTGCAGCCACTCAGGTTCCAAGTTGGCGGGAGAACGGCAAAACATCAAGTTGACCGCTGCACCCATCACCACGGTGCGCGTTGTTGCGGGGGAAGTGAGGATCTCTTTGGATTAACCCTGCTGAATGTAAACCGTTTACGCTTTCATTTTATTTTGGAATACGATTCAATGATGGATTATTCGAAATCCTTCTAATGCTGTTTTACATTTGTTTATGTTATTTTGTGTTTTGTGTGTGTGGCGCATCTAAGGTTTACCATCATTTAAATTAAATTGTGGCCAGTGGTTTGAAGAAAGATGTGGGAATTTGCTACTTCCGTCCTACATATATGATGATGAGTGAGAAGTATTATTCTTATTATTAGCAATACTGTTTTTATGTACCTGATGACTGATGATGATGATGATGATGGTGATGATCATGCTCATGATCATGATAATGATCATGAACCGATTTTTTTGGTGCATGGGTTGAAACCACCCCAGAATACAATGGTAATTACATAATAATTCTATATGAATATGTATGGTTGTATGCACACATATCAAGGTTAGTGGTACTTATGGTTTATGAAGGTATGTATATTGTCACCACCTTGGATTCATCCGAACGTAGATAGAATATGACATGCTCAACTTGATAATTTATTGCAATTAATGTCAACACAGGTTTGTTTTCTCTTGACACTTCCATATTCAAAATGCGTGAGTATTTTTTTGATACTTACTCACATAAAAACCATCGCTCTATGTATAGATACATAATACGTTTCATGTAACATGTTTGTACTATGTCCCAATATATATATATATATATACACATCATCCATGCATCTTTTTTAATTGGCAATATTTACCATGTTACCCACATTATAAATATATATATATATATATATCATATGTGTATATATATATATATCATATATATATATGATATATATTATATATATATATCATATATATATATATATGATATATATCATATATATATATATTATATGATATATATATATATATATATCATGTATATATTTATATACCGTACATATGTATATATATTATTATTATTTTATATATATATATATACATTTGTCATAAATATATATTTTTTTATATATATATATATATCATCTAAATAAAAAATATATATATATATATATATCATATGTGTGTATACATATATATATATATATTTGTCATATATATATATATATATCATATGTTTATATGTATATATATATATATTTATATTTATTATATCATATATATGATATGATATGATATGATATATATATATATATATATGATATATTTATATATATAGATAGATATCATATATATATATCATATAATATATATATACACATCTCATATATATATACACATCTCATATATATATTATGATAATATTGCCATTGCTAGCTTCAGCCCAGCATCGGCGAATCGGTGCCCTGAAGAGGTGAGGTTGTTCACCATCAGTGCCGTGGAATTCTTGTGTCTTGGTCCAATGGTTAATGCTTAGTAATGGGAAACAATCCTAACTGGTTGAATTAAGTGGTTAACCACTAGCAAAATCATCTTCAAAAAAAAACAAGAAAAATCAGAACATTTTCCACTTTTAACCATCACTAATATCTGGTTGGTGGTTTGGACATGTCCCAACTGACTTTCATATTTTTCAGAGGGGTAGGTATACCACCAACCAGATGAACTATCAATGAAGCATTAGTAATCACTTACTAGTGAGCATTACTAAGTAATGGTTCATGAACATTACTATTATTGATTAATGCTAGTAGGTGATTAATGCTTAGCCATCAACCCAGTGATGAACCATTAGTAAGTGAACCACTATTAACATCTATTAACCACGATTGCCACTATTTACGCCAGCAATGATTAATGGTTGATGGCTAATAGTGGTCAACAATGAACTATCAATAATGGGATTCATATGGGGGTTTCTCATAAAGTCACCATTGGTTAAATAGGGTTAACCGTTGATACTAAGTTACTAAGTCGTTCATGATTTGAATGATTTGGGGGTATATCCATGGCTTGGGAAACGCCCAATTTATGGCAAATTTATCTAATGATGGTGACAATTTTCGGAAACCATTCCGGCACTAGGGGTTCCATAGTTTGAAACAACCCCATACTTGGGGGGGTGCAGTTTTACTCATAAGTGGGTTACATTTCACCACCGTAGTTGTAGGGGCCCCATATCCCAACTTATGATATGGAGGTTATTACATGTTATTACCATAGTTGTACCCAATACACTCTTGGCCTGCAGCCCCAAGTATAGTACGCATGTGGGGATCGGTGCCTCCTGACCGCAGCTGGTTGGTGGTTTGGAACAATTTTATGACTTTCCATATATTGGGAATGTCATCATCCCAACTGACTAATATTTTTCAGAGGGGTTGAAACCACCAACCAACCAGTATTCATACCAGACCTCCATGGACCACCAATTTGTTGATCCATAGCGATGGACCACCCTAAGTCATCACTTCATCGTTGAAGTCTAGCGGCTCTCCAAATAGAAATGGATGGGGCCCTGCTATTTCACATGGTTTCTTACAAGGTGGGGCTCCCGTGAAATCGATAGCGTTCAGTTGGGGTTCACATAACCCCAATTTCACTATGGCTTATTATACGCAAATAACGAACTAGTATTCATGGGGTTTATAAAGCAACTTATAAACGTATGAAAGTAACTTATACGTTGATTATAGGGTATTCATAGGGTAAACTATAGTATTCATAGGTTTTATTCTGGTAAAGTAACAGTTCGCTATTGAAGCCATGGCCCAGTTCGTTGAGTTTTTTTTTGTGATTTACCCATGAATAGCATGGGTGGGTTTTTCATGGTGCTTGGTAAACGTTTACCACAGGTAACCATCATTAACCATCTTTCATGGGTAAATCCACTATAAATGGTCATGTTCAATAGAAAACTGTTAGTTTACCAGAGGGTATCATATCATTAACCATTATTAACCATTCACCATCCATTCACCACTATTAACCATCATGAAACATTATTAACCATCATTAAATTAACCATCATGAAACATTATTATTAACCATTCACCACTAAAAATGGGTTAATTATCCATTCACCATCCACTCACCATCATGAAAACCACTATTAGTCATTGTTAGAACCATTGTTATAACATCATTGCAGTTTTTTTTTGTCAAATTTTGGGGTCTGGGGTCATTTTCAGCTTGATGATCTTGACGCCTTGGGTAGGGGTCGTAGGAGTGTCCCAAAAAAAATCACTGCCCTGTGGTGAATGGTGACAGTTCGATGTGGAAAAACCATGGAAATCATCTAGAAATGGCGGGTAATTGATCTAGAAATGGTGGGTAAACTCCACATCGAACTGTTAGTTTACAGGAGGGTTTTTTGTTCGCAAGGATGGTTACATGGCCATTTGTGTATCCAAAGTGGGGCCTTAGAAAAAAATGATCAACCAGTCCAACAGTATAGCTGAAACCATGCATACCAAGTCTCCATCCCCATCCCTGGATTAGTAGAAACGAATCCTTGAGTTTTTTTTTTGCGATGGAATTTCACTCAATCACAAGCAAAAGATGTTCATTTCTTGTGGACTATCTTTGAGATTGCCAATGAGTTCATGATCACTATAAACCAATGGGGTGTCAGTAAGAATATGGATGTTATCCCTGAGGTGTTAACAAGATCCTCCATATGGACGTTAGTGAAACAATGGCATTGGGTACCCTGGACACTTAGATGGTTACCCTCTGGTAATGACTAACATAGCTTTGGAAAATTGACCATTTACAGATGATTTAGCTATTAAATATTGTTAATTTCCATAGCTATGTTAGTTTACCAGAGGGTGCTGTATGTTGCTGTGAAAGAAATGACATGGACTTGCTGAATGTGGATTGACCTCACTGGCCCAGGTGAGGCCCCGAAAAATGATGCATAGTATGACCACGTGTCTATATTATAATAATATGAATGCACAGGTAACTGGTTGGTGGTTTGGAACATGAATTTTATGCCCTTCCATATATTGGGTTTGTCATAATCCCAACTGACTTTCATATTTTTCAGAGGGGTTGAAGCCACATTAGGGTAGTATCAGAAATGTACCAAGATCTTCAGATTGCTGAACTACAAGCCTGATAGATGGGGAGATGGGTACTAAAAAAAGTGAGGCTCCAGAGAGCGGCCAAAATCAAGGACATGACCAGTTTTATGTCAGAAGGGTGCATCATGAGGCAATTCAGCCATACGTAGTAAGTATGCACATATATATATATATATATGCAATATTGCATAATATTGTATATATATATACAGTATACATGTATATGTATATGTATATATATATATAGTATACAGTATGAAGATAGTAACAAACAAAGAAGAATGGTTTGAGCAGCCGGTTGTGCCTTCAGGATATACGGCCTTCGTAAAGTGCTCACCAGCATGTACACGTGGCTTCTAGCGCTTCCCCTGTCGCTCAGCCGCACCAGTTTCTGACTGGGAGGCACCAGTTTCAAATGTGGTAAACCCAATGCAATAAAGTATCCCAGTAGAGGTCTATGGTATTTAGTATACCTCTAGACAAGGGATGATGATTATTCTGACCCCCAGTAGTGGTTGGTGAAGGGGATGGTTTATGGCATTTGGTTTTACCACATTAGTGGGACAATTTTTTCAGAACTGGGCTAACTGTTGGGCTTGTGGTTGATATAATTAATATTAGTTAACATCTCTACAGCTGGATGGGTTTACAAACCAACTTATAACCGGAGAGGTCTCCACCCTTGGGACATATGTTGAACGAGGAAAATCATCAACCAGAAAATGGTGGCGGTGCTGTCCTGCTTCTTTGTTTTGGTTACATGTTTTCTTGTTGAATTCCATTTTTTTGTGCGGAGTCGAGTCTCCATTTCAGCTGCTGAATTATTCTCACTATTCTGCTTCTTTGTGATCTTATTATACAGTATCTGTATTTACATATTAGTAGTCTTTCCTAACAGTGACTATTCGACTATTTTCTCATTATTCTCAGTATCTGTTGGTGATCTTGCGGCTGCACTTGCTGGCGTGAAAACAGATTGGTGATGTTTCAAGTCTCATCATCCCGAGGTGTAGTTGTTCTCTTTTGATAACCCATTGATTGTAGCATCCCTTTGTGCTTAGATTATATATATATATGGGGTTTGTCAAGACCTATGAACTTACCATATGACTGGGTGAACTACCGTCCATGAACCAGCTATATTGGGGTACCTAGGTACCAGGGTTTTGACCCATAACTATATAGGTGATAGATCAAACCATCTTTCTCAATACTTTGATGAGCTGGATTCTCAAAATGTTTGTTTTCATCATTTGCTGGAGCGCACAGCCAAGATACCCTCTGGTAAACTAACATAGCTATGGACAATGGCCAACCCATCTATAGATGATTGACCTATCAAAATTGGTGACGTTCCATAGCAACTGTTAGTCATTACAAGAGGGTATTCACGTGCAGTACATTTGAAGTGGATATTCGGCCCCTTTGTTGAACTTTCCGCGCAGTGCTGTTGTGGCGGCCAATTCTCCAAGCTGTAGCTGCTTTTGTGTTCGGCGCATACAAACGTTTACAACCGCCGCATACAAACGTTGTAAAAACCGCATCACATACAAGACACAGACCCAGATGGTTGGCATAGATGTCTGGTGTTTTCTCCAAAGGTCAGTACCCTCTGGGACCCTCTGGTAATTTAACATAGCTATTGAAAATGGCCATAGAAATAGTTCATTTTCCCATGAAAAATTGTGATTTTCCATAGTTGTTTGTATGTTTACCAGAGGGTACACTTCCCGACAGTCGGTCCACACGAGTCGCTGTAAAACGGAAACCGAGTCGCTCCATTCAAGCAGGACAGACAGCCAGTCAACAACATAATATGCACTATGTATATGTAACAGATATGGATGTGTATCCCCATGATATTTAAGCATTCTATATATATATATGCACAATATATATATATGCACAATATATATATATATATATGCACAATATATATATATATGCACAATATATATATATATATATATGTATGTATAATGTATATATATATGTAGTAATACATATTAAACACATGGTGTGCATCACATCCATATCATCAGAGATCCCAGAGGAACATGTTGTATTTTTTGTCACAGCAACAATCGTGATCCAATCCTGACATTGCACAGGAAGTAGGAGGAATGCACAAGGATCCCAGCTAGCAGCAAAATCCAATGTTCCCTGTTTCACATGCCTTGTTTCAAATTCTGGAGCATGTACAACATGTTGTGTCCCTAATTTTCACTCGCGCATTTTTTCTCCATAGTCAGCATCTTGCCATGGAGAAAGACTACCTTGGAGGTGCAAACGGGATTTGAGACGGCCAGCCTCGCCTTGAAACACCTGAAGGACCAGTATGGACCAGTCCCTGACCTCCCACGTCGAATCCGAAAATCTTGGAGAAAGAGCTGGCTGCCGTGCAGGCCTCGTTCTGTGGTGTCCAGCACTCAAAGTTTGGCCAATGACTTCGGCAAGTTCCAGGCAAAATCTACTGTGGCTATAGAAGAATCTGAAAGCATCAAAGTATATAGTTTCAAGGACCAAGGCACTCAATCACACATCGCAGGCTGCAGCAGGGATCAGCGACTTGGATTCTAACGCTATGAAAGGCGTCAATGACTTGGAGAAGTTCATGGGTCAGGTGGATGATGTCAAGGTGCCAGGTGACATCGGTGACGTTGGTGGTAGCATCGACCAAGTTGGGCGCATGGATGCCTTGAAGGAGAAAGACAATAGTAAAGTGGAAGTCAAATCGCGCATGAAATTTCGCTGGACGAAAAGAAATTTACGGACGAACGGACGAAGATTTGGAGGTTTCAGGATCGCCATCAGCAGAGAAACCAGAGCTGCGACATCAACTCCCCGACATTGCGCTGCAGCCGAAGCAGGAAGCACAATGGAGACCGATGCGCTTCTTCAGGTGCAGCGGATGGCTTGTTGTGGCAGTGGGTCCAGACAATGTTCCGGGCCTACTGCTGCGCCCGCTGAAGGCATTGCTGCAATGGCATTGCTGTTTCACTTCGAGCCGTGGCGTCAAAATGCCTAGATTCTGGACCGGACATGACCGGTGTCCATGGTTCAGATCCAATTTCTCAGGGAATGTTCACACTGTTCATATTGAAATAATTTGATTTATATACCCTGTGGTTGTTCAACAAAACCACGGAAAATTGTCCATTTATATATAATATATATATATCTATATCTCTCTCTCTCTCTCTTCTGATGATTTACCTTTTATGAATGGTGGTTTCCATAGCTACGTTGAAGAACCAGAGGGTATTGAGCCAGACCTGGATGAAGTGAACATTTACAGTACGGGAGCCCACAAGAATTGGGAGAGAAAAAAATGGGTTCCAGCTTCCGGTATCATTTCCCGCAAGCCAAACGAATGATTACATTTTCCTTTTTATGTACATATATATATATATATATACTGGTTGGTGGTTTGGAACATTTTTTATTTTTCCATATATTGGGAAGAATATATAATCCCAACTGACTTTCATATTTTTCAGAGGGGTTGAAACCACCAACCAGTATATATATATATATATACATAGATATGTTTCTTGGTCTGGTAGGCATCCACGATTGGTGGCTTAGGTTGGTGGTTTCGATTCTCCCTTTCAGAAGAATGGGATTCCAAACCACAAATCCTTACCAGTTTTAGTCCCACAAAAGATGCAGAAGCGGTTCAATTTACAACTACTTGACATAGGGTTTACTTTTCTATATATATATATATATACATATACACGTGTATTTATTTATATATATATATATATACATATTTATTATGTGAACACATATATATATATACAGCCATAATAGCATAGTATATCATATCTCCAACGTTTGGTGATTAGATTCACATATGTTAAAAATCCATACAGAACCATCCAACAAATCGTTGGTGCGCACCGAGCTTTGGATTGAGGCTTGCTGGGTATTTCTACCTCAAGCTGGTCTACGCCCCAGAGCTCTTTGAGGTGCCATTTTCGGGGGTGGCTTCGCATGGTTTAACCGTTATTTTCTTGGTTGAACCAAGCGATTAAACCCAAGACTTAAACAAAATGGCTAGTATTAACTGGTTGATCATATCATAAGAATCAATGGATTGGTTTAAGGGAAATTTTACAGGAAAGCCTTGTATTTGCTGGGAAAAAAAACATGGTTTCCGATTTTCCCTTCAACCAGTCCAATGATATTTAACCACCCTAACTAGTGGGATATAGACGATAAATGATGGTTGGTGATATATGCGTGAAAAGCTGAGACATCTTTAGGAAAACGCGCATATCCAAAACCATTGACTTTTCCATTTATATAAACTGTATCCATGGAGCTGGGAAATTTGTAAAGTCATTGGTGAAAATGGATAGAAACCAAAGATTTAAATGTGTACCGTATCCATTGGGGAAACATGTATATAGTATTATTGGGGAAAATCATTGGGGAATCCCTAAGTTTCGGGCTAATCATGTATCAAGTTTACCTCGGAGACTTGCCATGCCATTCAAAACGCCCAACTGTTGATGGGCTTAAAAAGGGTACTTAACATGACTTAACTGTCAAATGGTGTTTTGTCATTTTTACCACAGATATACAGCACCTGATGCATGATGGAAATGGCCTTCTTGATTAATTGTTTGATGGGATATAAGCATCATTTTTAGTCTCAATGATCAAAACACAGGAATGTATTTGATCAATGGTTGATTGCTTGTCAAATGGGGATTATACTGGATTGTTGAAGATTATGAACTACCCTCTGGTAAACGTTTACATAACTATATATGGACAATCAGCATTTTTATGGCTAAATCAGCTATAAATGGGCCATTTTCAATAGCGAACTGTTAAATTATCAGAGGGTAATCATATCATTAACCATTGTTATAACCATTATTATCCATTATTCACCATCCATTCACCACTATTAACCACTATTAACTATGGTTAATCATCATTTCAATCCGGGATAGCTATTGACCAAGCTGTTCTCCGCTTATTTTACCAAGCCGATTTCCCACACAACACGTCGGACACAGGACACCATGACAAAACAGATTTGTTGACCAAAATACCGGCGTTTTTTGTTTTTTTGTCCATGGAATCCTCATTATCAATGGCCATTTCAGGATCCTAAATTGGAGGTACCTAGCATATATAAGGCCTATGTAAGGCCTATGTAAGGGGATATCCCAACAAAATAAGGCCTTATATGGTACAGTACCTCCATTTTTGGATCCTGGAATTCCCATTGACATTATCGCTACTTGGTACCCATAGGTTTTTCACCATTGAATCTCAATCTTGCTGGTTATATCCTCACACCCTATATAGCTGGGATTTATGGATGTTCATCCCACTAAAAATGGTATTAATAGGTATTGATCCATACCCATATATATATATATATATTTATTATTAATATTTTCCATGTTTGGCGGATTGTCCCATCAACACCTCCATAAAAATGGTGGATCTCCCAGCTTGCCATGTTTGAGTGCCGAAGGGTAATCATAATGACAGTTTATTACACATCGTTATTGATAATCATTGTAATTTATTATTTTTCATTAATGATTGCCACATATCATTTCCTAGTTGGCTATAGTCATACTGGTAGTTGGTTTTCAGTATATAATCAATATTACGAATCAGATAGTTATCTTACAGTTTGGTTGCGCTTTGATTATTTGGCAAATTCTATATTCATGTATTAACCAACTTCAACCTATTCATCTATCAACCAACTATGGCAATTACTCATTGTTTCTAGCAGCCCCCAAACAGATGAGTGAAAAACCAGGACATATGAAGCAAATATCATCCTTTAAACACGGTTCGGCCTTCATTGGGGGGTTACTATGATTATCTATCAACCAACTATATACCAACTGAAAACAGTTTGTACATGTTATAACCAAGTATCTTACCAATTATACAACCAAGTATTTTCTTAATAAATTATCTGTACCATTTATCCTTAACATTATATCGGTCGGAATTTCAGTACCTTAAAATTGTATGGGAATATTCCCTCACATAGCCCTTACCTAGGCCTGATATAGGGTACATAAATGTATAAATATATTTCATAGGTCCTTTTGACATTTATGTCAAGTGAGCTGGTGGGAGGCGATCGAGAAGACCCAGAGGTCCGAAGCAAGGTTCAATCACTGGAACAATTCCTGCATCACTTGGCAGCCTTTCTTCCCCTGAGTTCTGACACAGCGGAGTGCGCGCATGGAAGCTTGCAAACCAGAATTCATCGATTTCGGGGACAAAAGGTTTCTGACCCAGCTGCTCAGGAGATTGGACTGTGGTCCATCAAAGGGGCTTACCGCACTTTCTGGAACTTGATTTGGAACAAGCAGGGTGATTGCAAGGCCCGGCGCAGACTTAAGCGCTTCACCAAGAAGGGCTTCAACCAACACACAAATCTTGAGCATCGCAAGAATCTGGGGCAACGTTCACCTTGGTCTATGGACTTGATGGAGGAGCTTGTCAACCAACCTGCCTTGATGAAGACACCAAAGACTTTGTGTGGCCACCTGGTGAAATTATGTTGTAAATATCAAATCATCACAGTCATTATATAATGTAATTTGATTCTTTGATCGTGACTTATTCTTTTGAGGTAGCACTAGCACCTAATAACATGATACGAAACATGAGTCCACGACTCAGGACTACCTTTTCCTGGCAAGTAAAGTCCAGTAAGTTCTGAAACGTGATATGTTTATAGTGCATCGAAGCAGTGAGTCAATGTTTTACATAGTTTGATTCAACGTGGTTTGTTTCAGATCAAGGTCAAAGATATTATCAACTGGATTAGACTAGACTAGTCAGACTAGATCATAATTGGACTATTAGACTGTCAAATCAGACTAGATCAAGTTACTTATTTTTGTAGGTCAACGACAGTGACATATTGAAATGATGTACCTTATGAAACTTGTTAGTATACATATTATGATTTTACATATAGTATGATATGTCACATGTCACGTATGATTTTTCTTTTCCGTATCAGATGAATTTGAAATATTATTCATTTGTTGTACTTGTTTGCTGAGATAACATGTGATGTGGTCAATGTAAAAATATGTTCAGTAATTTTAAGTAATGTTTTACGCGGAGAAGTCACAGTGGCCATCGCTTTGTTCTGCCAAAACATTTTTCTGAGACATGAAATGTCACGTGATTTTATGTTATGCCGTTGTGCCATGAACCAGGTTCTTACAAACAGATAACAAAGTTGATCAGGAAACCATAGCATAGTCATAGGGCCATCATGCCAGATTGCCACTCTGAATTCATCAGACACATTATTATAGCATCATGTTATGTTATAATTACTATTCATGTCACGTTTGCATATCCAATGCCATGATATGGATAATTTAATTTATGATAGATTTGTTCTCATCATTCATTATCGAATAACCATATCAATCAATATCATATCATCATACAGCTACATATCAGTTACACAAGTTACATATCGTATCAGAGACACACTAGAGTATAGTATACTGCTACGGTATATACATCATATATATGTACTTTACAGTATCTACTGTACTTTCCCAGTTTCTTATATCCTTGTCAGGCAGTCAAGCTGTCTCGGTAGCCTTGAACCCGCCAGCCTTTCTTGTGTCATGTTCTGCTACACCAGAAGCAGAAACATATGTTTTCAGTATTTTGTGGTTAATATTGTTTTCCACATTTTATAACCATAGTCATAAAAACGGTAGTACGGTCATAGTCATAAAAACGGTAGTACGGTAGTAGCTATCTTAATATTTTTGTAATCTATAGTCTATATTCTATACAGTCTATACATTCTATATTTATGATTTTTAAAACAAATAAAACATATATAATATGTAATATATAATATTATTCAAAAATATTATATATATATATACAGTAGGGTACCTACAAAAATCATGTACCTAAAATGGCCATTGAGTTACTGTTTATTATCGATTAACCACTATGAATCAGTACTATCTATATATTAACAACCATTAGTCGTATTCATGATTATACCCCATCTCCAATGTTGGCCAACTACATTGCCACTAAAAATTGCCAATGTTTCATCTCCGAGTTCGTTTTCGCCAGGCCCCGGTGTGTGGCGTGAAGCAGGGAGCACCACTGTGGCAATTCGAACTGGCAATCTATGAGGCCGACGTAGCACTGGTGTACTTTTATCAGGATCATCCTGCGGATCAGAATTGGTATTTTCCTCTGATAAACATACAAAAAACTATGGAACATCACCTTTTTTCATGGATAAATCAACTGGAATAGTCACTCATGTAACTATAAATCGCGATTTTCTATAGCGAACTGTTAAATTGGGTACGGGATATCAATGGGAACCACTGATATGATGGTAAACCCAATGACATCGATCCTCAATAGAGGTTGATGAAAGGTATATCCCTAGAGATTATGTAAAATGACCCCACATGGTTTGGGAATGAGATGGTTTATTTTTGGGAGATATGGTACAGATGGGTCTATAAGCCCCATTAACTATGTACTTAACCTACTGATAAGCCAAGTTAGCTAACTTAGATCCATAAGTGGCGTATAGAGGACAATATTTATATTAATGTGGATAGCTACCTAATTATGTATATACCATAAAATCTACTGATATTTATATTTACCATATTTAGATTAGTACCATATTTTCCATATTTACAAGTGATATACCTCACATTACCCTCTGGTAAACTAATATAACTATGGAAAATCACCATTTTTATGGGTAAATCAACTATTTCTATGGCCATTTTCAATAGCAAGCTGTTTGTTTACCGGATGGTATATATATATATGTACCATGTTGATAGGTGTCGATTGTCCCAGTTTTTTTCCGCTTCAAAAGGCCTCTTGGTGGATCATCCTGGGAGTCCTGTCGTCCGTCTCTTGGAACGCATCCGGATTTCCTTTGGAAAGTGGGCCACGATTAGACCACTTATAGTATCCTATAGCTATGGGAAATCCATGATATCCTGGAACCAGACCTCTGACTATTATTCTATATTATCGATTATCGACATATTATGGTGATATCATGATACTTGAATTGAACATTATGGTAGTCTAAAGGTACTGTAATATGGTTGAAATCTAATACACTTTATGGTAATATAGTGATAGTTGATTTCCAATGATATCAAGTTGGAGAGAGTTAATTTCCTGAACAAAAAACACCTTATACTTAGTAAGAACTGAAACGATAGAACAGTGGGACATTTGCAGAACATGGGAACATATCATCTATAATAGTAATGCACTTGTGGTTTGTAACCGTGATGAATTGGGAATTATCTAGCAATATCATGGTGATACAATAGTAGTATCATGGTGATACACTTGGAATATCACGATGAAACAATGATAGTTGTAATGGAAATGTCATGTTATCATCTATAATCGTCATACACAACGATATTTTAAATAACGATATGATACACTGGCATCACCCATTGCAATGATGTCCTCACCAAAGCACCAGGTAGATCCAGGTAGATCCAGGTAATCCGGTGTACGTTTCTATCAATATCATATCCATATGATTGGTTATGATATGGCCTGAAATGTATTATATCCATCTATTATATCAATATGATGTTATATGGCCTGAAACGAAAGCATGTTATTAAAAAAACAACTTAACGGTGCTACTATGCAACCATGGAAATAGGTGAGTTGATGTTTTTTCAATGTGTGAAGGATTGGGAAACCTTACATGTTAACCAAGGATCCAAGGGTAAAGCAACCTTGCTTGCACAGAAATTTGCCAACAATCGATAATCGATTCAAGCGCGTGTTTTCGTCTTGTCTGGCCCCAAGAGAGTGTCGGATCCCCCAAGCAGTCTGTAAAGCACACTTCAAACTTATTCTTGAGGCCGGAATGTGTCCAAATGACTTCCAGATTACTTTGGCCATTGAAGACACTCCAAAGTCTAAACTGAATGAGTGCGTCCTTGTGGCAGTTCCGCATGCGGTGGCGAAAGAGGGCCAAGGAGGGGTCTATTTTTGAAATCCACTCACCTTTGAGAGGATGAGAGGATGACTACAACAAATTAGGAGACCGTGTTTCGGCTTGTGAGCAATACCTCTCATCGTTGGTGTCAGCAGAGTTGAATGTAATTATATGGCAAGGGTGAGTGGTTGACAGTGGTTCGCAACCGTGGGTTATGAACAATTGAAGTCAGAGGGTAAGGATATGTCCGAATCTGTGACGCTGAAGTTGTTAGTCCAATTCCATGTATGATCAACAAGAGGAAGGAAGGACTCAATATCGTCGGAGCAGCGTTCGACTGCTCACTTATATGTTACGTAATCTATAGGGAATGATGATACTCGTAAACCATAGTAGGGAAATCTGTCAACCAACTAGTACACTGAGATGGGATAGGGGTACCCTCTGGTAAACTAACGGTTTGCTATTGAAAATGGCCCAGTCGAAATAGTGGATTTACCCAGCTACAAAATGATGATTTTCCATAGTTTTTTGTAGGTTCTCGAGGGTATGTTTACGGATTTTAATATTCCTGGCGTTGGATCGGTACGAGCAGATACTATGACCGGGTTTATTGCGCGCCGTAAGAACGGTCATATCCCTCTACCTCTTCCAGATATGTAATTGGGAAGCAAAGTAGGAAGATAGTGGAAGATACCAACTTATACAGTCGCCATATATACTTTATATATATATATGACATATGAGTCCGGACTCCGGATCCCTGGGCCCCCCCCCAATGGTATGGTCCCCCAAGCTCATGCTCTCGGGAACACGGGACACGGGACCATACATACATACATGCATGCATGCATCCATCCATCCATCCATCCATCCGGATGCATCCATCCATCCATCCCATCCATCCATCCATCCATCCATCCATCCATCCATCCATACATACATACACACACAGACATACATACCTATCTACCTACCTACCTACATACCTACATACCTACATACCTACGTACCTACGTACACACGTACACACGTACATACATACAGACAGACATACATCCATACATACATACACACACACAGACATACATACCTATCTACCTACCTACCTACATACCTACGTACCTACGTACCTACGTACATACACACACAGACATACATACCTATCTACCTACCTACCTACCTACATACCTACATACCTACGTACCTACGTACCTACGTACACACGTACATACATACATACATACATACATACATACATACATACATACATACCTACATACATACCTACATACCTACATACCTACATACCTACATACCTACATACCTACATACCTACATACCTACATACCTACATACCTACATTCCTACATACCTACATACCTACATACCTACATACCTACATACCTACATACCTACATACCTACATACCTACATACCTACATACCTACATACCTACATACCTACATACCTACATACCTACATACCTACATACCTACATACCAACATACCTACATACCTACATACCAACATACCAACATACCAACATACCAACATACCAACATACCAACATACATACAACATACCAACATACCAACATACCAACATACCAACACACCAACATACCACCACCACAGGCCACAGGGGGGGGGGACCAGAAGAACCATACCACCACCACAGGCCACAGGGGGGGGGGACCAGAACCATACCACCCTCCCAGGCAGGGGGTTGGACCATGGGTGGGGGGGGCTTGGGAGTCCTGGGTCATATATATATATATGTGTGTGTGTGTATGTATATATGGTTTTTTAAATGCGGAAAATTGCATTAATCATTAATTAAATCAATTATGGGATTTGGGGTACCTCGTTCTCAGAGAAACCTGGTCCCTGTTCCCAAGCAAAACAGGTCACCATGCGTAAAATTTTCTGGATCAATAATCTTGGTCCTACAACTTCGATGTATCAATATTTATATATATATATATCAACATAAAGTTTTGCCCAGGGACAATGATACCTATAGTAACTAACCCCCAAAAATATAGGAAACCCATGGAAAAGTAAATTGATGATTCATGATAGATGATGATAAATGATTATTCTATCGTCTTGCGGAATACTCTATTCGCTCTCCATGTATAGCCATCACTTCATTTGTAAGCGCTGAGGTTGGTTTCGGCACCGGCTTGCATTCAGGTGGGGGGAGTGTCAAGAGGGCAAAGGCTGTGTGCCAAAAGGGTGCAGATAGGACTTTGAGAGTAAATCGACAGATGTTACTGATTTCCTTTTGTTGAATGTAACTTTTGTTGGCTATTTCGATGGAGATACATCGATGTTCATTATATATTAATTGTTTACAGTTGTCTGTACGGAATTGTTCCAAGTCAAGAAACAACATGTTGTTTGCAGGGCATCTTAGACTAGCCATGAACCATCCGAACCATCGACAGAAATGAGATCCGAACCATCGACGGAAATGAAATAGTTTTAGAGCAGACACGACTAGATCCAGCAACGCACCATCAGTAGTGGATTTGTGTGAGGCAAAACATATACGGAACCATGCTGTTCAATTCTATTTGTGTTTCTGCTGTTTTTCCGTTAGATCAAGTATAGAATACCATCATATGAGATTCACAGTTTCTTGTGTTGTTTTTATGAATGTAACTCTATTGTATACTATGTTTGTGGTGTGAGCTTGGGAAATTAGCAGTTTGGAGTGCGGTACCACCATCTCTCACAGAAAATTTCAATCATGTACGAGGTGGTTCCCCAGTTCGGAATCGCAAAGTTGGTGAACATAACTCTAATAACAGACTTCTGGTAGATACATCTATGGTTCATTGGGGTATAAACCAACATTGTTAACTGGGGGGGACACCACTTTTTGTACACATGGGGTGCAACATATCTTCAATCATAGACCGTGAAATTGGATGGTTAAGTACTAAGAACTGCTGACAATTTACGACCCATTGTCTAGACAGGAGGCTAAGACCTTCAGCAGTACAAACCATAATTAACTATAATATAGTATATTTGTCATAACCATAAGCAATTAGAAAATGGTTATAACCATAGAATATATTATCATTAAAATCTTCGATCTTTTGACCATGGCACTAATCTGAGTTTGGGATAGCAGGGTATCCCATGCTATCCCCAAACAACTTGGTTCACGATCCTCATTTCTAGGTATATAATAACGACCTCACTGTTCTCCCTCACTGGAATCATGGTTAATAAGGGGAATTATCCCAATATGGTCTTATTTCAGGTTAGTGAATTATTATAATTTGCCCAAATCATTTTCAGACAAAGCCATATAATCCCATACATATTTTTAGTTACTGGCATATATACATATATATACATATACTAGTCGGAATCCCCATGATATCCCCAATATATCACTTAAATAGATGGCAGCCCTTTTTTAGCATGAAATGTTGCCATTTCAGACAAACCCGTAGGGATTTTGCTACCTTTTCTCTTGACCATTTTAACCCCAATGTATCCCACTGGTCTCACCATGACCTTCAAATTATATACGCATCTCACCACATACACCAATCAACCTTTCGATCAATGGCCGACGGGCTTGGGCAATGTAAGATTTCCATGGCTTTATATGCTCCGGTACAATGTGAGGCCCCCAAGATAGCGTTCAGTTGGCGAACATAAGTCCAATAACTGTGGTTTATGGCATTTATAACATTTTATAACTATAGTTACTGGGGCTTTTGTTAACCAACATTCACATCACTGGGGGGCCTCACATTGTACCTTTATTTCGGGGTACCGTAAAAAATCTCCCTTTGATTCGAGTCAACAATGAGCTCCGTTGCGGCAGGCATGATGTTCCTCTTCCCTCATGTTCTGCAAGTCGTCACCGCTGCCGAAAGTTGTGGCACCACCGAAGGAGCCATTGAGGTCGATAAATGGTACGTGAGATTGGTATTTACCAATAAATTTATCCTTTGTTAATGTAACATATTAATTCTGGAACATGTCCCTGTCATAGGTAAATCATCTAGAAATGCGCAGTTTTCCGGTAGCATCTGTACCAAATTACCAGAGGGTAACCAACTAAGTGTTCAGGGTACCCAATGCCATTGTTTCACTAACGTCCATATGGAGGATCCTGTTAACACCTCAGGGATAACATTTATATTCTTACTGACATCCCATTGGTTTATAGTGTTCATGTGCATACGGGATATGTCCTGGGTATATGATTAATGATCTGCTTGGTGGCTTCGAGTTGTTTTTTGTTTAAGTTCAGGCAGCAGCATGGTTTGCCAAAAGACAAATGTCCTCAGATGAGCCAAGGAAGTGCTTCACTGCTTTGTAAGTAGGCTATACACGATGGGGCTCCCGTTCGATACTGTTCAGTTGAGATAAAAGTGGCTGAATTCGATGGCTTTTTGGTAGATATTGGTAGATCTAACGAACTAGTTAATGGGGATGAATGGGGGGTATAAACAAACGTTCACGTCACTGGGGGGCACCATCCAGCTGTAGGATCTTTTGAATATATCGAAAAGCAATGGCAATGCCGCTTTCCCAGGGAATCAGCCATAACTTTCCGGGATGAGCAAACATATAAATGCATCGCAGGTTGACTGGCCACTCTAGGGGGTTATACTATGTTATACTAACCCATAATGGACACCGGGATATCAACCAGTATAATGGGATGGGATAGGTGTACTTTCCATGGCTCATTTGTATTCACGACTTTTCATAGCGTTGGGTGCCATGTTTTCTTTCTTCGCTCCTGGCGTTTTCCAGATTATTAAACAGCCCAGGACTGATTGTGTGGTATCAGCATCCTTGCAAGCTAGAGTCTTGGCTTGGCATCAGAGCGGTCAGCGGCTTAACAAGCAATCAAATGAATTACAGAAAAATTACAGTAAGGACGATGATTTTGGATGTTCCTAGGATATATTTATTTTCATTTTTTGGGGAGCTCAGCTTCCTCGTGACGGATACCAAAAATGGGGGTAGAAACCCCCACTTGGCCATGAAAGAGGGACATGGTGCCATCCAAACCACCAGCGTGGTGGAGAAAAACAGTTAGTCAATCAAAACCCACGATATATATATATAGAGATATCTACCAAAGATACGGAATTCACCTAGTTCTAAACCATCTTGGATATCTTAGCTAAGGATTGGCCCGCAGCACCTTGTACCCCCCCGTAAACATCGATGTGGAGTTTACCCAGGACTGTAGATGATTTCGGGTAAAACCCCATGGTTTTCCCCAGTATTTTTTTTAACCCCTAGGTATCCCATTAAATCAAGTTAAATCCAATAGAATCATATACAAATATATACCTGGAACCCAATTATGACCCTTATTTTCAAGGTTTTGACCCATAAAATTGAAGGTTAACCATCCAAAAGAGGGGTCATTTGTTTGTGTTCCAGGTATATAATTCCTGTAGATTCCCATTAAATCACCAATAAATCACCATTCAATCACCATTAAATCTCATTAAAACCCATTAAATCACCATTAAACCTCATTAAAACCCGTTAAAACCCATTAAATCACCATTCAATCACCAATAAATCACCATTAAACTACCCCTCGCTGTAAGCTTTACCATATCTCGATCTCAGGATTGCAGCACGACCAGTGGTCCTGATGATACCGTTCCTTGGCGAAAAAACCGAGCCGTGAAGGCTGGCACAATATGTGCCAGCCGTCCCTTTAGGGGAAGCAACAACAATGTAAACAAATTAATATACATAAGATATGTTATATATACATATTATATACATATATAAGCTCGCTGCGTCATATATATATAATTATATATATATATATATATGTATGAAATAAGGAAACACTCACAAATAAAGAAGTTTGTATTGGCATATATGTATATGTATTAAACAAAAGTATACCCGCCCCTGAAAATCGGAAAGTATACAATCAACATTAAGTACAGCAAACGATTATTTTTGGAAGTACTTGACGCTCAAACTGCGGCGCTGAGGTGACGTTTTTCAACCTTTGGTGCAAGGCCCAATCGAGCTCATGGGATTTGTTCATTCTGAAATCCAACGTGGCGCCCACAGAAAAAGATCCCAAAAACATGGGGTTTGAGTGGTTTGGATGGTGATTCTACGGTGGAAAATGGTCATGTTCGGCTTTGATGTTCATTTCGATGGTTTTTTTTGGTGCATACCAAACAGTCGTTGGTGGATTTGGCAATAGACTGGTATGGGAATGGCGTCGGGCAGTGCTTTTTATCCACCGCTACATAGTGGATCATAAGTATGGTAAAACTACATTTGATTCACATGACTCGTGTTTTTTGGATGGTTTACTGTAAGTTCACCAACAAGAAAGCCTGTGTGCCATGGTGAACTTACATAATATCCCCAATTTAAACTACTGATAAGTTAATTTAACTGACTATGGGATGTTTCACCAACTTGATTGGCACACGAAATATATCATCAATATCATATGATATAGATATAATGACTTTATGATTCAATACATAGATATCATACTGGTGATACCATTCTGATACCATTGATTGATTATATCGATACAAAGGGGATATGATGGTATCAATTACAAAAAAACACATTGCATTTTTCCAATCATAGTACCATTGTATTGTTTGTCGCTTTTCCACATAATTCCACTGATGGGGATATGATGCTTTCAATATATCTTTTATAGCCGCATATCACCAATTTAGATATTCAACGGGAATTTCAGGATCCTAAAATGGAGGTACTATACCATATAAGGCCATATTTCGTTGGGATATTCCCTTACATAGGCCTTATATAGGCCTTATATATAGTAGGTACCTCCAATTTAGGTTCCTGAAATGGTCATTTTTAGATATTTCAATAATTGGTGATAGACGAACTTAGCTTTATTAGCTTACTATTTGGCGATGATTCACCAAAAAAAGTGGAAAAGTTAGATTAGACGAAAAAACCATGGGACTATAACCAACAAACAAATGATCATAATGATAGACTAGACTAGACTATATATACCTGGAACCCAATTATGACCCCTCTTTTGGATGGTTAACCTTCAATTTTATGGGTCAAAACCTTGAGAAGAAGGGTCATAATTGGGTTCCAGGTATATACATACATAATGGAAGATTGTGACTCATTATATAGATATAATACTGGGGATACCATGGTCGGGGGTTCGCTTGGAGCGCCGAAGTGGATCGCTTAGAGCGCCGGAAAGTGGATCGCTTGGAACGCCGAAAAGTGACAGAAGAGATATACATAGCGCATCATAGCGCTAGAGTTCCATATATGCGCAGAGGCATATAGACACATAAATGGATGCATTCATATGTCGCTGAAGCACGCGATAACATTCGATGCGATCCGCTTTTCGGCATTACTTGACGAAGAAACATATCAGGAACGTCTAGCAAGTTACTTGAAGAAGATGTTCCAACGTATCAGGAGCATCTGGCAAGTTACTTGAAGAATATGTTTCGAGGTATCAGGAACATCTTGCAAGTTACTTGAAGAAGATGTTACAACGTAGCAGGCACGTCTTGCATGTTACTTGAAGAAGATATGACAACGAATCAGGAACGTCCTGGAAGTTACTTGAAGAAGATGTTACAACATATCAGGAACGTCTTGCAAGTGACTTGACGGAGATGTTACAACATATCAGGAACGTCTTGCAAGTTACTTGACGAAGATGTTACGCTGTATCAGGAACGTCTTGCAAGTGACTTCAAGAAGATGTTACAACGTATCAGGAACGTCTTGCAAGTCACACTTGACGAAGATGTTACGACGTAGCAGGAACGTCTTGCCTGTGTGTGCACAGGAACGTGAACGTTACTACCCCAACCCACCCCACCCCACCCGTAACTGATCACGAAAGAGCAGTGCAGTGCCTGTGTCTGCAGGACAGCAAGAAAGATGATGAGGTTGCTGTGCCTGTGTGTGCACAGGAACATCAACGTTATTACCCGACCCCACCCCACCCCACCGGTAACTGATCATGAAAGAATAGTGCAGTGCCTGTGTCTGCAGGACAGCAAGAAAGATGATGAGGTTGCTGTGCCTGACTCCATGTCCCAAGTGTTACCCTAAAGGTATGATTCTCTGGTGCTCTAAGTGATCCCATGGTGCTCTAAGTGATCCACTTTCCGGTGCTCTAAGTGATCCCTTAAACATTATCATACTATCCCACGAATCGTAAGCAGGTTAGTTCACCCTGTTTTTTGCAGTGGGATAAGTAGGCTTAATCCACTGAAATAACTAGGATGAACAAACCTACTCACGATTCGTGGGTAGTTCGCCACCAAGTATAGACTGATACCATTGATTGATTCTATAGGTATAATTGGGATATCCCTACATAGACTTTATATATGGATATAGGCTCCTGGGGAATGCGCATCTTCAATGCCGCCGGAAGCAGGAGGTGTCCTAACGGCTACGAGTGTTCCACAAGCCGCCGTGTCTGAGCTGGACGACCTGAGTGCAGCCGTGCAGAAGGATCGTCTGTTGAGTCGACAACGCAAAAGAGCTCGCACAGCTGCAAGAGAAAAACAAACGCATAATTTCTCCTTGCCAGGGCATCGCATCTTGAGGATGGAAGAACTGTTCTGGAAACTGATGATTCACCGACAGTGTTGTAGCATTCGTCGGCGTGATCCTGGCATCCGACAGTCACCACCATTTGGTGCTGAGACATTTTTGGGTCGGACCATTTCCTCCTGGGTTGCAGACTATGACTTTGAGGAGCCGGAAACTCCGGAGCTCCTGACCGCTGAGGAACTCAAGGCTGAATCCACCATAAAGTAAACAAGATATCTGAAGCTTTTCATTCGATCGATGTCGCTTTATTTTGGCATCAGGTCTTCCATGAGATGTTCGGGGCTCTCACCTCAGATCCAGTGTGTTAACTTCAATCGGATACAGTATTTCTTTCAGGTTTGTATGCCCTTGTTTCTAAGACTTCTAAATTTATTTATTTTCACATCAGGCACTTAATGAAAATATTAGTAGTTATCTTAACTTATCATAGAAGTCATTTTTACTTATTTTCACTTAATTTAGGTTAATTTTTCATTATTTTTTACTGTTTAAAATTGATAAAAGACGAAAGATGTTTCTGTCATAGGGTTTTGTAAAACATCTTTGAATTAAAAAATATAAGAATGTTGCGTTTTCTTTTTTTGTTTGGATATTTTCATGGTTCCGATGCAAGATCTTCCTTGTCCTGTTAAATGTATCTTTTACAGGAAGTTTCCTTTTCAGGCATCATCTCTTTTCAGGAACTATCCTTTTCAGGAATTATTCTTTTCAGAATGAATCCTTTTCAGGAGTTATCCTTATCAGGAATTTTTCAATTCAGATTGAATCCTTTTTCAGGAATTTTCCTTTCCAGGAATTATCCTTTACAGGAAATGTCTTTTCGAAGACCTTTTTCCATTCAGATAATATTTGGTCACTTTTCCTTGTTTTGTCACAAGCTGGAAATTACTCACTTTCTTACTTTCTATAGTTTTAAAACTTTATCTTTATTGAAAATGTTATAAAAATGTTCATATTTTACTATTTTTCTAAATTTATATTTTTATATACATTTTGGTCATTGATTTTCATAATTTTCACATTTTCATAATTTTCTAAAAATTATCTGCATTTTCGGAATGTTCTATTTTTTTGGAACTTTCTAAATTTTCTAAATTTTATATATCTATGTATATATATATATTTCTGAATATTGCGATTTTTTTCGAATTATCTAAATTTCCTAAATTCTCTGGATTTTCTGAAATTTTTGAATTTTCTGAATTTCAGAATTTTCATATTTTTTTTGTTTTTTTTAATTGTCTGAATTTTCTGAATTTTCAAATTTTCTGAATTTTCTGAATTTTCTGAATTTTCTGAATTTTCTGAAATTTCTGAAATTTCTGAAATTTCTGAATTTTCTGAATTTTCTGAATTTTCTGAATTTCCTGAATTTTCTGAATTTTCTGAATTTTCTGAATCTTCTGAATTTTAGATTTTTTTTAATTTTCTGACTCTTCTGAATTTTTAAAATTTTCTGATTTTTTTGTTTTTTCCGACTTTTCAACATTTTCAATATTTTCTTCATTTTCTACATTTTCTCATTTTCAAAATTTTCTGACGTATATACATTAAAAATAATAAATTTGTTACCTTCTGTATGTTTAAGCATTATAAATTTTCTCAGTAAGTTACTTTTCTCCATTTATTTCTATTACAATCTTTTTTGAGTGGTGTGTATTGTTTCTCAGATTTCTTATTACTCTGAATGTCTCAAACTTAATTTATATATATATATTTGCAATATTTTTATATTTTATAATATTTTTCTGCATAGTTTCAACTGAGTTGATCTGAATTTTTCTATTAGAATATATCGTAATGTTTGAGAAATTTAAAGAATTTGACTGTCAACAACTTCAAATGCGAATCCCTGGAAAACGTAAAGCTCAAGAAGCTACATTTTTTTTCTGGTGAAATATCATACTGAGTTTTTTATTTGTGAAAGAACTGCTTTTCATGAACATTATACTGCTCATATTTTTGCCTGCCCAGGAAGTATACATTACAGGAGGTCATCTTTTCAGAGAAAAAAGGGATACTAACTTTCCAGGAACTACTCCTTACAGGAAACATTATATATTCCAGATATTTTTTTCGTTATAAAAATTCCAATGCCCTTCCCTTTGAAGCCAAAATTGCTCCGTGGTAATCGACATCCATGTCCATCAATGTTGAAAACTGACAAAAAACATATTTTTACTTATTTTCGCTTCTTTTCCCTTATTTCAACTTATTTTTGAATAATATTCCACTATATTTACTTATATGTTCATTATTATGTTACAAGTTCACCTAAACGATTAGTGGAACTTAAAACAAAAAAAATAAAAATAAACAATTTAAACAAGATATTAGCAAGATAATAGCAACTTATAATATACTTATAACTTCATTAAGTGCCTGATGTGAAAATAAATAAATTTAGAAGTCTTAGTTGCGAAAACCGCAACCGTGCTCTTCACCGAGCTGACGATTGTGCAAAATCGCCATTGGATGCGAGAGACCTTGTCCGCGGGCGGTCCGATGGTGGTCATTATCGGCGAACTGGTGAGGAGGGGCTTGCTTTAGAGTCGCGTGGAACTTATGTGGTTGCAAGTTAAGTTGCAAATCAACTTGCCGAGGCATAAGTCTGATAGACTAACTATGTGGCTAGGATGATATAGTGGTACTAACATGGTGACATTAATTTTAATTTACTTTACTTCGTGTGATCCCCACCATGACATTTATACATTTTGTTACTGGCAAATCTTCTGGCATTTTATCTGACATATTTTCTGGCATTCGATCTGGCATATCTTCTGGCATTCGATCTGGCATATCTTCTGGCATTCTACCTGGCACATCTTCTGGCATATGTTCTGGCATATCTTCTGGCACTCTATCTGGTATATCTTCTGGCATATCTTCTGACATTCTATCTGGCATTCTATCTGGTAAATCTTCTGGCGTTCTATCTGGCATATCTTCTGGCATTTTATCTGGCATATCTTCTGGCATTCTATCTGACATGCTATCTGGCGTTCTATCTGGCATATCTTCTGGCATTCTATCTGGTCGTTGAGGTCAAGCGGTGCTCACTGAGCTCGGAAGGTCCCAGGTTGAGGTCCAGCGGTGCTCACTGAGCTCGGCGGGTCCCAGGTTGAGGTCCAGCGGTGCTCACTGAGCTCGGCGGGTCCCATGTTGAGGTCCAGCGGTGCTCACTGAGCTCGGAAGGTCCCAGGTTGAGGTCCAGCGGTGCCCAGTGCGCTCAGACCCTTGCAGTTGAGGTCCAGCAGTGCCCACTGCGTGCGGAAGTTGGCGAAGAGCTTGGCGAAGAGTTGGCAAGGCGGAAGTGGACATGGAAGTGGCAGAAGTGGACCTGGAAGTGGATGCAGAGGTGGTGGAGGAGAAGGAGGAGAAGGAGGAGAAGGAGAAGGAGAAGGAGAAGGAGAAGGAGAAGAACAACTCTGATAAAATCTAACAACCCTCACCTGGCAGGTGGGAAAAATACTATACATAATGATTGGTAGTAAACATATCAATTTATATAATTTTAAAGATGTGGACAATCAACATGAAAGTGGGCAATCAAGAAATGCCTTCGCAGGTGACCATCCCCTGCATGCTCTGGGGCTTTGGCACGGCTGTGGGAGAGCTGCCGCCTGACCCCGGAAAGCCGTGGGGGCGGTAGAAGTCGTCAATGGAAGCCACTGACATGGCATTTGAAAGGGATTTAAGCAACCAAAATGGAGATATAATGGGAATATATTGAGATAGCTAGATAGATAGGTAGATAGATAGATAGATAGATAGGTAGATAGATAGATAGATAGATAATAAATAGATAGATAGATAGATAGATAGATAAATTGATAGATAGATAAATTGATAGATAGATAGATCGATAGGTAGATAGATAGATAGATAAATAGATAGGTAGATAGATAGATAGATATAGAGATAGATAGATAGATCGATAGATAGATAGATCGATAGATAGATAAATAGATAGATAGATAATTAGATAGATAGATAGATAGATACATAGATACATGGATACATAGATACATAGATATAAATATGTATACTGCATGTGTATATATATATATAACGGAATATGCAATATGCATATAGGTGAGCTATAAACAAAAAAACTACCTTGGTTGTGTTTGGATTTACAGTACCTAATTTATTTGAGACTATGATTCTGATAAGCCTGGTAGGGAAACCGATCAACCAACTAGTATAATGAGATGGGATAGTGGCATTTCTAATGGTTCAGGTAGATTTATACAAGGTGGTGCCCCATAGTTTGCCAAGTTGGTTTACAACTAGGCAAAAGTATGGTTTATGGTAGATATAAGTATAGTCAATGGGTACAAATCAACTTATACCTGGGAGGGAGGCACCACCTTGTAATAACCCCCCAAAATGACAGAAAAGTAAATTCCTGGAGAAATAGTGTCAAATCAGTTTTCTCTCTTTGCATAAAGGGGTTCTACCTCACTACCGCTGTGTAATGCCATTAATCATTGATCCGGACCTTCGTGTTTGAGCTCAGTCCCAAGCTTCTGATCACAGGTCCGCGCTTCCACCCAGATTGTTCGGAGCTAGACATGGCGGGATTGACCAAACTCGTGCGGTTCCATGTCGAGCAAGAACTCGCTGACGAATTTATAGCGAACCTACTCCGTACACTGGTCCCTGACTATGGCTCATTCAGAGATTTCCAGGCAGGTGACAGAGACTTTGTGATGGTGATGGCAGGATCGGCAGGATCCTGTCTCGGAGTAGTGAGGGAATCCGGGGATGGTGGTCAGACAGTGGAGGTCGATGGCGTTGACACTGGTGTCACCGTGCAGACCTGAAATTTGCGGACAACGAGGATTGCTATGATGCTATTTCTTGATGGTGGTATTTGAGCAACAAACATGAGGACAATTTGGGTTTTGTAAGGATTTAACAGTCCCCCAACAAACAGAGACCCTCAGAATTGCCAGTCTTTAGAGGAGCGTAGTCTCCCCCCCTATTTAGCAAGGTCCATTTAATAGTTGGACAGATGGTACCCCAAAACCATTCTATTGATATGATCAACCAGTTGATACTGGCAATGTTAAGTGGTTTAAATCGGTTGGATGGTTCAACCAAGCAATTTGCTGAGTATTCTGGGAGTATAGCGGGGACATAAGGGAATACATAAGGCAACACTATGATGATGGGTTGTGACTGAGCATCTGGTAAATTAAAACGATCTCACTGGTTTGTGGTATCCAAATTGGTTTTGGGTTTCACATCTTGTGTAATGTTGGTAAAAGAATAATAAACCGCACATTGTGACATTTGGGAATATTTTGGTGATTTGGGTGATGGTTTATTAAAGTTTATTATTGTTTTACCAGCATTATATTCAACCTTGGTTCGGATGAGTATCCCAGCTGACTCAAAATCTGTGTGATGGGTTGAAATCCGTCAGGGGTTTGTCTGGACATGGAGTGTACTCCCCAAGAACGATTTTAATAAAATAAGGAACATGGTAAGCTGTTGGATTTTACGGGGACGTCATTTTTGAAGAAACCCAAATGGGCATGGGAGGGGGTCACTGAACTGGGCCATTCCGAGACAAGATGATTCTTCCTTGTTAGAAGTTTGTTTATAAACCCTATTGACTATATATCTACCACAAATTCTAGTTAACCATAGTTAATTCTAGTTAATTCTAGTTAACCATAGTTAACCATAGTTAATCTTATTGACTATATATCTAACAAATTCTAGCCAACTTGGCTAACTATGGAGCCCTACTTTAGGATGGATCAGTTCACTTTCAGCGCTGCACTGAGGCCGCCGTACTTAGTGTCAAAGGCGCACAACCGCGCTACTGGCGCTGGGGGGCTGTGGAGGAGATATGGGATGTAGTGAAAATGGCGTACACTGCAGCAATAATGGGATATGTGATCATGTCATAGTGTTGTACATTAATAATGGTAAATTATGGTTAATCAATGGGTCAATTGGGTTTATTTATACTTATTGCAATGGACTATCTACAACGTGGTGCCATCTACAAGGTGGTGCCTCCCCAGTGATGTGAACGTTAGTTATAAACCAAAGTAACTATAGATTAATATCTAGCAAAAAACTTAGTTAGTGGAGTTATGTTCACCAACTTAGCGTTCAAGAACTGGGGCACCACCTTGTAAGTACATATTGGATATGAATGTGATACTGTGGATGGAAGAAATCCTGCACCAGCTGATAGGTGGTAAACATTCCATTATTTAGAGGGTTTCAATCATCCTTTCGGTGGTGCAGGATTTCGCAACCATCCACAGTATGACCAACAAAAATGGCAACTCAATGGTAACTCAATCGTATCCCCAAGCAGGAAATCACCATGTTTAACGAGTAAATCAACTATTTCTATGGCCATTTTCCATAGCTATGTTAGTCATTACCAGAGGGTATAAGAAGTCATAAATGGCACAGTGATGGGATTTTTTCTGCGTGGGGATGCTGGCCGTGGGTGCCAAACAACGCAAGCTGATGGCCGAGATGATGGCCCATCTGCAGATGATGGCCCAGGAGTCTGAGGAGGACGGTCGAAACGACGACTTCAACATACTTCAACAGTCCCGACAAAGCAGGAGGGCCGGACACTCCTTCACAAGGATCTGATGCTTCGCACTCGCCCTACAGGAACATGGTGGACAGTGACTCTGACAGTGAAAACCATGCCTGTAGCGAGTGTATCGCAGGTATTAGGCCGTGATACCATGTTTTAGGTTGCCTACCCTCTGGTGAACTAATATAGCTACGGAAAATAACAATCTTTTATAGGTAAATCAACGAACTAAGTGGGTCATGTTCAATAGCTATGTTAAATTAACAGAGGGTAATGGACTAACCAATAGGTTACCGAAACAATACAAGTAGGTAATCCGACAAAATGGTATAACAATGTTTTTTAACAATGGACACATGGTCTAGCGACTCAGCAAGCCAAGCCGACAGAAAGTACGGAGAAAGCACTGAGGGCCATGCTGCGGTACTTGGTGCATGACCAAGGCGTAGTCCTGCGTCTACCTGCGAAAATTCCACCAAGAGAAGGCACAGCTCATCCACTCTCAGTAGATACTGAGGACAAGCTGGTCGTTCAGACGCCTCGCATGCGCCTCTGAAAAGCACTGGGAGGAGAGAAGTGACTGGTATCACTTTCCGTGGTTGCCTGATCAAGACACTCTCGCGCCATCAGTTTGTCAAGCATGGAGTCCGAGCATTCTGGCACTTGGCAGACAGGGCAGTCTGCAGCAACAAGTACTCCTACAAGTGGGGTGACCTTTGGGATGCCACCGGGCTTTTTGGACGGCAGTGGACAATCTGCCAGTGGAGCAGCTGTGCCACCTGTTGCATCCAACATGGACCCTGTATGACCCTGTGGTAGTGCAGATGATGAGACAGCAGATGCTTTTGACACAGCTCTATGCGCTGCAAGCTGTTGCTCAGGAGATGGTTGCGGTTGGGAAGTTTGTTGGAAGGGTGATGCGGACCATTGGGAAGGGATAAATTAGGATGATTAGGACATTCCCCACTAACAACGTATATAACTGATTTTGTTGTAAGTTGTTGTGTGGTTGACGAGGATCATTATATAGTATATTATAGTTATTTTGTCATTTTTGACGAGCATTTTTTTTGTGGCGATGATTGTGATTGACGAAGATCATTATCTATAATCCCATTTATGTTGATAATCGGATGCTGTATCTATTGTATCTCTATTTATACTGCCATTCATAATTTAGGATTAAAACAGCTATGATCAATTGCAGTATGTATTGTATTTTTTTTTTAACCTCATCTAAAGAAACGTGTTTTTTTTCCTATGATCATATTACCACGAATGATTTACATCCTGGATTTTCCACTTGGGCCTGGGATCCAACTCTGATGTTGCTCACCTCTTAACGAAGCCAGGCAGCTCGGCAGTCGGGCAGCACGGACGAAGAGTTTGCCAAAGAAATGGAGGACCGGCTGCGCTGCTGCGCTGCTGCGCTTCCGGCCAGTGTGGGACGAATCCGAACACCAGGATCATCTCGTTGAATGGTTCAGTGATGGGATTTCATGTGATATATAGTGATGGTAAATCAATGGCTTACAAATGGCATTTCATGGGATATACTGTCAGTAATAATGGTGAATCATGGTGAATGATGGTAAATAAAACAAAATCAATGGCCATTTCAAGAACCGATTTATTGGAGGTACCTACCATATATGTTTGGCCTATATCTATATATATATATATATTAGGCCTAAATTTCAAGGAATATCACCAGAAAATATGGCCAGAAATATGGTACGTAGCCACGTACCTCCATCGTTTTTGGATCCTGAAGATCAAGGCCACGGATCGTGTGGTTTTTTTTGTGGTGAATGTAACCATCTGGTGAGTGGATGTGTCTCCGATTTTCTGGGGTATCCTTAGTATCCTTTATATACATACTTCATATATATATATATGGCTATGGGTCAATACCTATAGATACCATTTTTAGTGGGATGAACATCCATTTACCAGCTATTTTGGGGTTCACTAGGTACCAGGGTTTTGACCCATCCCCATATATATATGTATGTATGTATGTGGGATGATCTTCCAAGTATCCAATGGTGAATGGGTTTGTCAATGGTGAATGGGTTCGGAGTGGTGAGCTGAGCTAGGGCCGCTAGGGATCCAGTTGGAGCTACCAAAAAAAGTGGTGTTGGGTAAACATGATAGTTGGGTAAACACATCAGAAAAAAATGATTTTTAAGCGACCAAAAATGGGATCACATCATGAACACCTTGTTTTGCTAGGTGTCAGCCAGTAAAGAATCAATTTTCAGCATCCAAAGTTTGGGAAGAGTGAAAAACAACACCATGGGAAACCAAACTTTTTCAGGCTGAGTTGGTGCTTTGTGTTTTATTTTTAATATATAACGGGAACATAGTTTTGTCCAGGGTGAATTTGGGGAATCATGGCTTAACCCATGGTAAAAGTCATGGCTTTGAAATTGAGTCAGTATGGGGAAACCATGGGAAACCTGACCTTGGGATTCAAGAGACCTTGGATACTGTAAGGCCGCAGGAAGAGATCATATGCACAGATCTTAAAATCGAAGAATGTGTGGTATGTTTTTGAAAGAACTGTATCCTGGAATACTTTCTACTCTGCCATCTTTGGATCAAACTTGAGCACCCAAACAAAAAGGATGTTTCACGATTCGAAAAGACCAAAACCTGTGGGTCTTGTTGTTGTGATGGGACAACAAATGAGATCAATTCGTTTATAGTTGATGACCAAACCATGTGCAGGGACGCTAAAGACCTACTACGCGGCGAACGGCACTCCTGTGAAGATGACTGGAAATGTTTTGGTTCACTTTTCGCTTGAGGTAACTGGATTCAACGGGAAGAAGATGCAGAGCTTCAAACTTCCCTGTTGCGTGGGACATGTGACATATCTTAATATGGCTATGGATGAATACCTGCCTATAAATACAATTTTTAAGGGGATGAACATCCATAAATTCCAGCTATGTTGATGTGAACTACAGGGATTTACAGGGATTTACAGGGATTTACAGGGATACAAGGTAACTTGACCCATAGCCATCTCACGAACACTCAGGAGGTCCAGGTATACCCGGTGATCGAACAGAGGCCCATTTTTTTAGATGATAAAAAATGTGATTTACCTATGAAAAATGGTGATTGGCTCCAGTTCGCTACATTAAATCACCAAATTGTGTATCAAATGGTAATATTCATCATACAATGGTTCAGTGGCTTTTGGGACGGTTGGACAGCATTCAAAGCCCCATATGCTCCACGTATGGTAGATTCATTTATATTCACCATTTTAACATATGGTAGAATTATATTCATCATGTAACATATTATTCAAAGTATAGTAAGTAATATTTTCCCATATATGGTATATGTTCCTAGATTTTTCTAAGTCATATTCTCCCATATGTTCCTGGAATTTTGGAGTAACTGTTGCTACACCGCGTGAGGACGCCAAGACGAAAACGGACGTCTTCAATCGGATGAAGCTTTGGACAGTGACTCGACGATGGACGACGATGGACGGGATGGGGAGTGCAGGAACCCATTTTTGTGCCAGGTATGTGAAGGTTGCTGGATCAACCCCATTAAGCATAGATAAATCTGGGTAAATTATAACGACCTCACTGCGACCTCACTGGAATCATGGTTAGTAAGGGAAATCATCCCCAAATGGCCGAACTATTCAGGTTAGTGAAATATTTTAATTTACCCAGATAAATCTACCATCATCATTTACAATACCCAAGTGAAACTGGAGATATTGGAGTTCTGTGCGCCCCAACTTAGCTAAGGCACCACCTTTACTGAAAGCTGGGTTCGTTTGGAACCGGCATTTGAAAATGAATGGGCAGAAAACAGCATGAAAGAACTTGGGCTACTATGGCTACTGAAATGCTAAAAAGTGCATTGAACAAGAAGAGAACATCACCAGAGATAGATCTCTACTTCCAGCCACAGCAGGACTGAGTCAATAGTGGACGGCTACTAAAGAGTGCTTGAATCTGTTGGCAAAAAATGGTTACGGATAAATATATATAAATTAATAATTTAATTAATATATTGTATATAATATTCCCTCCAGTAATCAAACGTGGTTTGCGGGTAACTATCCAAGATTGATCATCTTGCCATCTCAATTTGGAATTCCAACAATGTGAGGTTAAAAACGGTTCGTTTTATTTCGTGAACACCGCAATCCCATCCCCCTAATATCAGTTGCACCCCCTAAACCTACGAAATCATGGGATTTTTTGTTGGGAAATTCCACATTCCATAGGAACCATATTTATGGGTGTTTAATAGAGGGATGGGATTAGTGTTCATGGTCTTCTTGGTGCCGGGACCATCAACGATTCCGCCAGGTGAACTTTACGGAGCAGCACGGTTTCTTGGGGATTTTTCTCCTTGCGTTTCTTGGTGACGCTGGAGATGACGTCGGCGAAAATGGTGGCTGCGGGATACCCGCCCGTATAGAAAAATATCTTTCAGGACAATCCATAAGATATCATAGATCATGAACCATGAATCAATAGAATTACTTCACTTCGAATGATCCCCACCATGGCATTTATACATTTTCTTACTGGCAAATCTTCTGGCATTCTATCTGACACATCTTCTGGCATTCTATATGGCATTCTATCTGGCATATCTTCTGGCATATGTTCTGGCATATCTTCTGGCATATCTTCTGGCATTCTATCTGGCAAATCTTCTGGCATTCTATCTGGCATATCTTCTGGCATATCTTCTGGCATTCTATCTGGCATATCTGGGCATATCTTCTGGCATTCTATCTGACATATCTTCTGGCATTCTATCTCATTCTTCTGGCATATCTTCTGGCATATCTTCTGGCATATCTTCTGGCATATCTTCTGGCATTCTATCTGGCATATCTTCTGGCATTCTATCTGACATATCTTCTGGCATTCTATCTGGCATATCTGGCTTCTGGCATTCTATCTGGCCGTTGAGGTCCGGCAGTGCCCACTGCGACCTGGAAGTCGCGGTTGAGGTCCGGCAGTGCCCACTGCGATCTGGAAATCGCGGTTGAGGTCCGGCAGTGCCCACTGCAACCTGGAAGTCGCGGTTGAGGTCCGGCAGTGCCCACTGCGATCTGGAGCTCGCGGTCGAGGTCCGGCAATGCCCACTGGGATCTGGAGCTCGCGGTGGAGGTCCGGCAGTGCCCACTGGGATCTGGAGCTCGCGGTGGAGGTCCGGCTGTGCCCACTGGGATCTGGACTGCGAGGAGGAGGACGAGGAGGAGATGGAGGAGGAGGCGGAGGAGGAGGAGAACAGCTCTGATAAAATCTAATTACTTTACTTCGTGTGATCCCCACCATGACATTTATACATTTTGTTACTGGCAAATCTTCTGGCATTCTATCTGACATATTTTCTGGCATTCGATCTGGCATTCTATCTGGCATATCTTCTGGCATTCTACCTGGCATATCTTCTGGCAGATGTTCTGGCATATCTTCTGGCAGATGTTCTGGCATATCTTCTGGCATATCTTCTGGCATATCTTCTGGCATACCTTCTGGCTACATATCTTCTGGCATATTATCTGGCAAATCTGCTGGCATTCTATCTGGCAAACATTCTGGCACTTTATCTGGCATATCTTCTGGCATTCTAGCTGACATTCTATCTGGCATTCTATCTGGCATACCTTCTGGCATTCTATCTGGCATATCTTCTAACATTCTATCTGGCATATCTTCTGGCACTCTATGTGGCATATCTTTTGGCGTGGATACTCGCGGTTGAGGTCCGGCAGGGAACACTGGGCGTGGATGGTCGTGGTTGAGGTCCGGCAGGGAACACTGGGCGTGGATGGTCGTGGTTGAGGTCCGGCAGGGAACACTGGGCGTGGATGGTCGTGGTTGAGGTCCGGCAGGGAACACTGGGCGGGGATCCCCGCGGTTGAGGTCCGGCAGGGAACACTGGCGGTGATGGTCGTGGTTGAGGTCCGGCAGGGCACACTGGGCGTGGATGGTCGCGGTTGAGGTCCGGCAGGGAGCAGGAGGAGAGGAGCAGGAGGAGAGGAGACGAGGAGAGGAGACGAAGAGAGGAGGACGAGGAGGAGAGGAGGAGGAGGACGAGGCAGGAGGAGGCAACTGACATAAAATCTAACAACCCTCACCTGGCAGGTGGGGAACAACCCTCACCTGGCAGGTGGGGGAAAAAAACATGAATAAAACATGAATTATCATGAATTGATCATTTTTTGGATCATAGTTTCCTCCATAGAAAAACACATGACGCAGTCACGTTAGGTCTTGGCCCAACGCGGCGTTCGACATGTGTGGCCGCTTGGAAGGATTGGTGGGTCGGTGGGTCATACTTGCAATGTGGGGCTATTAATGGTTATTAATGATGATTATTATTAATGGTTATTAATGATGGTTATTAATGATGATTATTAATGATGGTGAATTCTATGGTTAATAAGGGTAACTTATGGTTAATGAATGCTATGCTTCTAATGATAGAATCAACATAGTACAATGTGGGGCCCCCATTTTCGAGAACGCTAAGTTGGGGTTCACATAACTCCAATAACTATGGAATATTATACGCAAATAACGAAGTGGTTAATGGGGTTTATAAATCAACTTATAACTGGGGGCCCACATTGTGCTGATCCCACGAATTGTAAGTAGGTTCTATCCCTGTTTTTTTTTCCAGTGGGATAACTATAGGCTTAATCCACTGAAAAAAAACTAGGATGAACTATATAACCTACTTACGATTCGTGGGTGGTTCGCCACCAAGTACACATGTACATATTGCAGTTGTTGGAGTCTAAAAAGATGCATATCTTGGCTTCGTGATGTTTGGATCTTCCACATGGATCCACATGGACTATGGATGGATAGATGGATAGACAGGCAGACAGGTGGATCCATCTGGATACATCGATCTGGTGTGTTTTTTAGATAGATTACCGTCTGGTAAACTAACAGTTCGCTATGGAAAATGGCCCATTTATAGATGTTTTACCTTTGTGATTTTCTATAGCTATGTTAGTTTACCAGAGGGTAGACTATGGAGAGATAGATCTGGTTAGTAAATTTCCATTCTGAAGAAAACCAATTAAATCTCCAGAACTCCTGCTGAGTTAGACTCACCTGAGGAATGTGCTGCGGCTATTTGTTGATGCCCTTTTGGACCTTCTTCATCGCAACGGCTCTAGGCGCGATCCGTGTTGGATCCTGGAGGATTATCCCCACAGTGAAGTGGTGGAACAAAAACATCAAAAAATCCCAGTTATCCTCTGGCAAGTAAAACTAACACGAGGCTATGGGAGATCACAATTTTTCATAGGTAAATCAACTATTTCGACTGGGCCATTTTCCATGGCGAACTGTTAGTCATTACCAGAGGGTATGAGATGTTATAAATGGGATAATCTACAAATCGGGACTTTGTGAATAGGCCATTTACGAGCCGCGGAATGATCAGTGAGATTCGGTCCTCGCGGAATGATCAGATGGCATCAGAAGATGTAGAGGAAAATATTGATGCAAATCAAGGAACATATATGCAAGGAATATGATGAATATGTATGAATAATAACAATAATCATAACAAGAATAAAAACAATAATAATAACAACAATAATAATATATGTATGATATATGAGATATATATATAGATATATATATATATGTATATATGTATACATATGTATATTCCCAATAAGGATATATCTCCCAACATATCCCAAGATGTTCAATGGATTCAACGAACATATATTATCTGGGGACCTTGTTTGTTGGATTGGTCTAGGGGATCGCCTCTACTTTTTGGGAGGCATGTCTCAATCGGTATGCAGCATCCCGAATGCAAACATTGGCCACAACAGCCACTACAATTTTGTGCCCCAATAGTAAGTGTGTAATCAGAGTATCAAATTTCAAATTTCCATCGTTATTTGGGATGATGCTCTTTGACCATTTTTGTGAAACATGCTTGGTGGCTCATCCCACGAATCGTAAGTAGGTTGGTTCGCCTCTTTTTTTTTCACTGGATTAAGCCTACTTATCCCACTTGAAAAACCAGTCAGATATCACCTACTACAAGGTGGTGCCCCCACAGTTGCAAGTTGGTTTATAACCCCTCATAAAGTATATATCTATACCATAAACCCAAATTATTGGGGTTATGTGAACCCCAACTTTGCGATTCGAACTAGGGCACCACATTCTGCGGCTTCGTGGGTAGTTCACCACCAAGTGGGTTTTTCTCCAGCCTCGGGTCCCGTGCCAGGAAAGGGAGTGGTGAAGGTGAACGGTCAAGCAGCACCTCGGTCACAACGGAGCTCGAATGCCGAGGTTATCCCATGCAATCCATAGACGTTGTTTTTTGGATGTTATACCCTCTAGTAAACAAACAGTTTGCTATGGAAAATGGCTATTTATAGTTGGTGATGATGGTAATCCTGATGATATCATGGTCGTAAATGGTACAATGTGGTGTCCCAGTTCGAAATCGCGTTCAGTTGGGGTATCACATAACTCCAATTTCACGGGAGGGTTCATGCTAGATATACCGAACTACTTAATGGGGAGTTTAAACCAACTTACAACTGGGGGGGCACCACATTGCAAGTGGACTGGTTGTTAGTGGATCAACTGGTTTGATGTTGATGTTGGTTTCAAAGATGTTGACGTAAACATCTATCCTGGTTTGGGATCCCAAAATTGACTGAGTATATCGAACTGAAATGAAACTGGAAGCACCAAGCGGAGTCACAATCGGCTATGATGTTCCAGAATTATATAGCATATACTACAATGGCTATGGTTACTGACCACCTGCGATTCCACTTACGACGCCGGCAAGCGAAAAACATCTCAACAGCATGAGTCGGTTGTCTGCCGACATCAAGAAGATCATGAAAGAGTTCCCAGGCCTTGCAGTGCTGCATCTCTGCGAATTCGGCACTCATGGGGACCAGGTGCCAGTGATCGTACAGGACCGGCTGAAGCACCGTGACGAAGCCATCAGAAGCCATTGCCGGCGGTGCCCCAGAGTAGCTAAGCTGGTGAACCTAGCTCCACTAACTGCTGGGTTTATGGATAATTGGATAATATTGGATATATCATGATATATCTACAAGCCATACCTGGGGCTATGCCACGACTATGCATCAATCTGGGTTCAACCCCAAGTTCCCGATCTCGACTGATGTTTTCTGCGGTGTCAAAGGACTATGCTTGGTTACTTACTTATTCCAGCTTGTTGTACAAACCTACCATTCGAGGATGGCTTATGCCAGCTTATACCAGCCATGACATTCTGATTTTAGGGATGGTTTAAAAGATTGGATTTACCACATTAGACTCATTAGACTATAATTCCAGGATTGGGCTTCTGAAACCCTAAAGTTTTGCTTCAAATCCGACACTTCCGTAGTCTTATTCCTCTTGATGCATCAGATCCGGGGTTTTCCTGGTTGACACCACCTGACACGAAAAAATGCCACGTACAGCTGAAATCAACCATTTGTGGTTTTTGTTCATCCTGGTTTGCCGCTATTTTGATTATATCACCACCAAAAACTAACTTGTTTGTAGTATACATACATACATACATACATACAAACATACATACATGCATGCATGCATGCATACATACATGCATGCATGCATACATACATACATACATACATACATCTGAGCCACCGCAAAAAAACCCGGCAATACTAAATATGTATTGGACTGACCTTGGTTTATGGACATTGATTGAACATGCTAAAAACACACGCTAAGCGATGGGACCTTCCCAAATTAGCGATACCCCTTTTCAAGGTGATGTTATAGTATTTCTCCAATATCCACATTAACGGTACCCAAATTGGACGTTGATGTCTGTGAATTATATATATATATACATGCAGCAGTTTCCTGCAAGCGATACCCCCCAAGTTTACCATATATCATTATTGTACAAACGTGTGGTAAGCGATGGGACCTTCCCAAATTTGTAAATGTCCTTTCCGTGAACCTAGGGACTTCGAGATTGCTCATATATATATATATATACATATACATACATATATATTTATATCTACATGTGTACATATATATATATATACATATAGTTATACATATATGTATATATATATATACATATATATACATGTATATATATACATATATATATACATATATATATACATATATACATATATATACATACATACATATATATATATATATATTTATTTATTTACATATATATACATGTATATATAATATTTATATCTACATATATATATATATATAAATTTACATATACAAATATGTATACAAATATGTATACATACATATCACCATTATATATATATATATCACCATTAACTATATATATATGCAAAGGCAAGAAACAAAAATGAATTTTGGATGAAGTCTTGCCATTTACGGCATTTGCCCCTCGCCAAGACATTGCCAGTGCCGAAGGGATGTCCATAGCAGGTATTTTTACCCAAGGGATGTTGCTGCTGAAGTTCCCATGGTTAAATTACCATGGTATTCCCATTACCCTCTGGTGATTAATGGTGATTAATAGTGATTTAATGGGTTTTAATGAGATTTAATGGTGATTAATGGTGATTTACCCTCTAGTAAACTAACAGTTCGCTATGGAACATCAACATGTCTAATGGGCAATTCAGCAAGAAATGGCAATTTTCAATAGCTATGTTAAATTACCAGAGGGTATATCATCCAATCGAATTTGATTGTGATACCAACAGATTGATATGATTTGATGATTTCCATTTGTATGAAGGATTTGATATCCCTTTACATTCCCGCTAAATCCAATTCCCATAAAATCCCATGATTTTCCCATTGGCAACTGTTTCTTTGCCAGAGGGTATGTGTTCCATGTTCTAAATAAACAGTGACTCCGCTACTTGGTGGCTCATCCCACGAATCCTAAGTAGGTTATATCCCTGTTTTATTGCAGTGGGATCAGTAGGCTTAATCCACTTATAACTAGGGTGAACTAACCTACTTATGATCCGTGGGATGAGCCGTAAACCCCATAGATGTTCATAAATTCACCTATCTTCCCGATCAAACTGGTTTTGTTGAGCACATTTTTGATGTGCCATGCTCATCTTTTTCAGGATTCGTATCCCCTCATGGCTGTAGGGCTTTAGCCAACACTTCAGTGAGAATTTCAGGACCCTAAAATGGAGGTACTCTACAATATAAAAACCACAGAAACTGGGTGCATATCCCTTGAAATTTAGCCTTCAAAAAAGATGCGTATCCCTAGCTGTGCGAGGTTGTGTTTGTGAACCTCTTTGGTTCCGCGGCCTTTGAGGCCAATGATTTAGTGCTGTGAGCCTGGAGTTTCATGGTTTTCCCATTTATTTGTGGTAAAAATGGTGAATATCAAATGTATTGAACAACCATTGTTTTTCTTTGAAACTTGGTGTGGTGTTTAAACATTTTTTTAAACACCCATGGTTTGCTATGATTTTCAAGAGGCTGTGTCTCAAGAATTAAAGCAAAACCACACAAATTCAATGGTATAGGATCATGTCCAAGATTTCAAATGGCTCTTTGGGGGCACACCACATGTTTAGACATACCAAGCTCATGTTGGTTTAAGTGCATATTGACGGGGTACTCTCCAGTACACTCATAGCAATATATATACACAGTGTATACAAAACACAACATTTGGAGATTGTGTACCTATTTAAATCAATCATTCTGCCATATGTTTTCCACTGAAGAGTTGTAAAATTCCAGCCAAGCATGTTAAACTACCAAAGGGTTTTCATTACCTTAAAATCCACTGGTACATCAGCAATGCAATTCTTGGGCATGCCCCATCGGACGAACCAAAGGAGCAATGACCAAACATAGTTAAGAGTCAGTTCTTCACAATGGTTCAGTTATACTGCTTGAGACACACGAATCTGTTTGGCAAATCTACATATGTGTATACATATCTATATATAATTATCTATATATAATTATATATATATATATATTTTAGAGTGACAGAGAGTTTTGACCGCTGATATGGAACCTCCAACAAACGGGATTGGACCTCCATTTTTACTTGATGTTTATCATAAATCAATGTGCTGTAGATCAATACTGATGTATATTGCACTGATTCAACGCGCGATGTGCATGTGGTATTTCTATCATGTGCAGATCTCGTGTCATCTGACATTCCAAATCGATGTTGTATGCAAATATTTTGTAGGTTTGCAACCTGCAACATAAACAAATTGTGTCTATAGGCAGTATAGACAAGACAAACATGATGTAGTGTATGGATTTGGCTAAATCATAGCAACCTCGTCGCAGTGAGGTCACGAGAAATGATTATTTTTTGGAGATGATCCCAAACATGTTCATGTCCAGGTCAGGAACTATTACCTTCCCATTGGTTAAACAGGCTGGAAAATCACCCTAATATTATTTTCGATGGAGTTATGCCATATGTTCCTACGAAACATTGAGATTTTTCAGCCATTGTGAAGTTAGCGAAGGGTACGAACTGTTACTAACTAGCCTAAAAATCCAATGGTTTATCATCACTCTTTCAGTTGCAACGAATTTGCCATTTAGTTTGCCATTTCTTACCCTCTGGTAAACTAACATAACTATGGAAAATCACCATTTTCAATGGGTAAATCCACTATAAATGGCCATTTTCAATAGCTATGTTAGTTTACCAGAGGGTACTTCCCGTGAAACAGGCTCCATTCAACGCGAGAACCAGCGCAGGTGTTGCTCAAAGGATTCGACTCCATGAACAGCTTGATCGAGGCTAGGGTATGGGGATGTCGGAAATGGGTTACCCTCTGGTAATTTAACATAGCCATGGAAAATGGCCCATTTATAGATGGTTTACCTATTGAAAATGGTGATTTTCCATTGCTATGTTAAATAACCAGATGGTAAGAGGGAAAATGATGATCACGCAGTGGATTGGTGTCCGGTACCCTCCAGTAAATTCACAGTTTGACCCTGGCAGTTGTCGGGGTTGGAAGATGAGTTTCCACTAGAAACGGCTGATTTTCAGGGTCCAACTGTTAATTTACCAGAGAGTACCCTTATCTTCAGATAAACCCAAGTGGTGGCATTTAGTAATGTGGGTACAACAATAATAAGCCAGCCATTTGGGAATGATTTATGCCACCTATAAACATGGTGAAATTGGGGATGGTTTGTTATTGTTTTACCAACATGTGGTTTATTATCATGTTTGTCATCATTGTGACTATAATACAATAACCAATGTTGGTTACCCCCATATTATAACCATACTATGTTATCCCCATATGATAATAACTAACATGTATTATTGTTTACCACGTGTTTGTTGGTTTTGTAACCCATCCTATGTGGGTTGAATCCACCAAGCAGATCAGGCAATGAGTTTTTAGGGCCAATGTAGATTTTCCACATTAAGCTGTTTCGTAGTCACTCCTTCGGGGTGCATCCATATATACTGTATGTATGTATGTAATGTAATGTAATGTACTGTACTGTACTGTACTGTACTGTACTGTAATGTAATGTAATGTAATGTAATGTAATGTAATGTAATGTATGTATTAATGTAATGCAATCTAACGTAATGAAATGAAATGTAATGTATTGTAATGTATGCATGTAATGTATGAATGTATGTATGGATGGATGGATGGATGGATGGATGGATGGATGGATGGATGGATGGATGTACGTATGTGTGCAATGTATCAATGTATGTATGTATGTAATGTAATGTTATGTAATGTAATGTAATGTTACGTTATGTTACGTTATGTTATGTTATGTATGTCTGTATGTATGTCTGTATGTATGTATGTATGTATGTATGTACGTACGTATGTATGTATGTATGTATGTATGTATGTATGTAATGTATATATGAAATGTATGTAATGTATGTAATGTATGTATGCAATGTATGTATGTAATGTATGTAATGTAATGTAATGTAATGCAATGTAATGTAATGTAATGTAATGGAATGGAATGTAATGTAATGTAATGTATGTAATGTATGTATGTAATGAATGTAATGTATGTATGCAATGTATGTATGTAATGTATGTATGTACGTATGTATGTAATGTAATGTAATGTAATGTAAGGTAATGCAATGTAATGTAATGTAATGTAGTGTAACGCAATGTAATGTAATGTAATGTAACGTAATGTAATGTAATGTAATGTAATATAATGTAATGTATGTATGTATGTATGTATATATTAACACAGTATATATAAATATATTTTTAATTATATATATAAATATATCTATGTATACAGTATATCTGTTTTTAAGTATATATGTATATGTATACATACATCTGAGATAATATGTGATAAAGTAACCACTTAGGATGCCATCCCGCACATGTGGGCGTGCTCCGTGGTCCGTGCTCTGGGCGGAGCTGCTCCCAGGCAATGTTGGGGAAGGATTTGCAGCTGCGCGCTGTGATCTCCAACTTAAGAGCCAAGCTGTTGGCAAAGTTCCATCAGCACAATCGAGCCCTGACTGTGTCAATGGGGGCGTCATAATTCATGGCTATGTTCATTCGACAAAAAGCATGATGTATCATCATTGTTTGTGGTATTTTCGGACTAATTCACTTCTTCTGAAATGTCAAGCACATTATTGTCGCACAAAATGGGAGAAGGTGGTAGTTAAAATCCCAACGACACTAATCCGTTCATTTTGGGGATGTTCCCCAACGGGGATGGAGCAGTATTGCCACATCTAGACTCTTGAAAGAACGTCAACTAAGGTGTCAAATCCAACATGTGATGCAGATTATGTTTGTGGTTGGATTTGATTACCCATTAATTTGGTGGATGGCCATCCATGTTCATAGGGGGTTAATATTATATATATGATATATGTATATATATATATATTAGTATATACATATATAATGATATATATATATACATATATATATTATATGCAGCCATACTGTGGGAAATCTCAGAGATTATGATTATTGTCTTCCTATTTCAACTGCGGGGCCGACAAAAAAACCCTATGAAGTTCCGGTCATTTGTGAAATTGACCAGGATCCGATTTGCATAGAATTGGATCATCTGATGAATTTGATAGCATAATCTGATGGTTAAAAATCACCATGGTATTCCCATTACCCTCTGGTAATTTGTTACATATTGAAAATGGCAATTTATAGTTGGTTGGTTTACCAATTAAACATGGTGATTTTCCATGGTTATGTTAGTTTACCAGGGGGTATATCATCCAATCGAATTTGATTGTGATACCAACAAATTGATATGATTTGATGATTTCCATTTGTATTAAGGATTTGATATCCCTTTACATCCCCATTAAATCCAATTCCCATAAAATCCCATGATATTCCCATTAAGTAGCAACTGTTTCTTTACCAGAGGGTATGTGTTCCATGTTCTAAATAAACAGTGACTCCGCTACTTGGTGGCTCATCCCACGAATCCTAAGTAGGTTATATCCCTGTTTTTTTTGCAGTGGGATCAGTAGGCTTAATCCACTTATAACTAGGGTGAACTAACCCACTTAGGATCCGCGGGATGAGCCAGTAAACCCCATAGATGTTCATAAATTCACCAATCTTCCCGATCAAACTGTTTGTTTGAGCACATTTGTGATGTGCCACGCTCATTTTCTTCAGGATTCTTATCCCCTCATGGCTGTAGGGCTTGACTCAATACTTCAGTGAGATTTCAGGACCCTAATATGGAGGTACTGTACCATAGAAACCATAGAACTTGGGGGCATATCCCTGGAAAATTAGCCCTTACATAGGCTTTACATATGGGATAAATCGTTACCTTAAATGGCTATTTAGTACTTGGCGAATCCCAAGATACGGGGATGACCATAGCCCAACTAAACGCCCAAAGAAAAAAATGCTTTAGATTTGGCCGTGTAAACGTTGGTGATTGATAAGCCCTATCCATACAGGATGGGGCCCCTGTTCGATAGCGTTCAGTTGAGACATAAGTGGCTGAATTCTTTGGTTCATGGTAGATATAACAAACTAGTATTCATGGGCTTTGTAAACCAGCAAACATATCATCTGAGAGGCACCATCCTGCCCAGAGACACTGTTCTTTTCCTAGGTTTTCTGAGTCGGTAATGGGACATCCACCAGGACCCTTCACCAGCATGAATGATGGTTTCCCTATGATCCATTGGGTTTATCCATGTAATGTATCCAGTTTCTATCGATATGAAGGGATTATCATGGTTTTTATCCATTTGGGATTATTATCTGGTTGGTGGTTTGGAACATTTTTTTCCATTCAGTTGGGAATGTCATCATCCCAACTGACGAACTCACTCCATCATTTTCAGAGGGGTAGGTGGCTCAAAACCACCAACCAGTTGATTATTAGCCATCATTAACCATCATCATTAACTATTATTAATAGTATATTTGGACACCATCATCATTGACCATCATCATTAAGCATCATCATTAACCATATATTAACCATCATCATTAACCATATATTAACCATCATCATTAACCATATGTTAACCATCATCATTAACCATATATTAACCATATATTAACCATATATTAACCATATATTAACCGTATATTAGCCATATATTAACCATATAATTACCATATATTTACCATATATTAACCATATATTAACCATATATTAACCATATATTAACCATCATCAACCATTCATGTGGGATGATCGAGGTGAAAACTCCCTTGGTGAAAACTCGTCGCATGTTTTCGGTCAAGGAATGCATCCAGAACATCTCTTCCACAACGACGATGACAAGCGGTCACCTGACAGAATGGCACGATGGCACGATGGCACCAGGATTCTGGGAGCCGCGAATGAGGATCTACCCTCTGGTTATTTAACATAGCCTAGATGGTTTACCTATTGAAAATGGTGATTTTCCATGGCTATGTTAAATAACCAGATGGTAAATCTAAACATCATTTATTATCAGGTCACTCTGTTTATCAGGTTTGTACTCGTATAAAAATATTTCTTCAGGTTTGAACCATCAACGATGTCTGATGGTACTTGGTGGCAAACTACCCACGAATCCTAAGTAGGTTATATCTTATTGTTTTTTCAATGGGATAAGAAGGCTTAATGCATGTTAATGCACTGAAAAACCTAGGGTGAACTAACCTACTTAGGATTCGTGGGATGCACCACGAAGTGATATTGGTAATTGAAGATATGTTGTTCATTAACCAATAGTAAAAATAAGTAAGGGTCAATTTTTATATTATATAGTTATGCACGTTATGGACAATCACCATGTTTGGTAAATCATCTTTAAGTGAGCCACAGGAAAAAATATGCTATAGCTCGGGAAATTAAGCTTTAAAGATGGCCGTTTAACCATAGAAGATACATGATGATACGGATTTAATATCATTAATAGAATAGAATACCCTCTGGTAAACTAACATAGCTATTGAAAATTACCATTTATAGTGGATTTTCCCATTAATAGCATGGTGATGAATTCCATAGCTATGTTAGTCATTACCAGAGGGTAGAATATTGGACATATCAATGGAGGCTTCATGGTGAAATGTCATGGCTCTAGCCTCTATGTTTCCCTCTGGTGGTTTCTTGCCACATGGCGTTGTGGTAGGCCTGGTGCCATGGGAGACTTCTCAAAGGCCAAAAAGAATTCTCATGGTGACTGCTTCTAGCTGGGGGACATGGGGATATCCATAAAAATTATTCAATTGTTCCCAGCTCGCACCTTGCACGCAATAAACTTTAATGATTTGACATATAATATTAGACACCCCAGCTCCTCATTTGCATAGCCTTACCTCGAGAGTGACGTACTGGATATGAACGAAACACTCTTTGACCAAAAAAAAGTAATATCTGAATATCTAAGCATTAGCTGAAAATGTACAATGTGGGGCCCCCCTAGATAGCTAAGTTGGTTAACAATTCCAATAACTATGGTTTATTATACTTATAACTATGGTTAATGGGGTTTATAAACCAACTTATCACTGGGGGGGCCCACATTGTAGGATACATCAGGATACCGTTTTATGACTTTTCCGTACTTTCCCATGAAATGGTCATTCAAGCGAGCCTTGCCTCGCACCAAGGCTTGAATTCCACGAGATTTGCAAGCTGCAACTTGCCGCCGGATTTTCTGGTGTATGGGAACAGACATTGTTAACTGATCTTGTTAAATGCTGTCAAATGATGTTAAATGATGATAAATTATGTTAAACGATCTTGTTAAATGCTGTCAAATGATGTTAAATGATGATAAATGATGCTAAATGATCTTGTTAAATGGTGTCAAATGATGTTAAATGATGATAAATGATGCTAAATGATCTTGTTAAATGGTGTCAAATGATGTTAAATGTGCTTCTCAAGCAAGCAACAACATGACTCTTCATGAGGTTTATAAACCAACTTCGGAAACCACGCCCAATTTTGATGTACCCGATTCAAAGCGATAGAACTATATAGAACTGGATGTATCAGATATTTCAGTTTCGATACGCATCGTCAAGAATGCTTAATCATGGTGACGCATATCCAAATGGGGATGGGTCAAAACCTATTCTTACCATATATTTGGGGGAATAAACTATAAACATACACATTAACGAACTGTTGTAGGTACCATTCAGGTGCCAGGGTCAAAAGAATACCATCTCATACCCAAATGTGGCGCGAAGAGATGCAGGTATGACACTGAGGAGGAAGAAAAGAAGAAAGAAATTGCGTACAGAGTCGCTTGCAGTTGCAGTTGGAGACTGTTGCAGAAACCCTGGTGTTGGTTGATGATTAGCGTGGGAATCAGCGTTTTATCTAGTGGCTATTCTCAGAATCCATGAAATGGGATGAAAACTACAACACATTATATGGCCATTATATGATCTTGTGGATTTTCCACTCAGTGTCCAATCGTTGGTTTTATATATATGTATATATATTCATAATCATATAATCATATATTATATATACATAGATATCTCCCTTATGTCATATTCTATGTTTCACTTGCATAACCCCTTCATACGGAACTAACCCGTATTTGGGCACATGTTATCAAACAGTTCAAAATGCGCAAATTACTCTAATCCCTTCCTCCTAAAACTAACCTTGCAAAGCTTTCCCAGCTCCTTGCACATTTGTGCCGGTGTGAACTTTTCATTCACATTCTTATTGCAACGCCAGAGCCACTGAAACGTCTTTTCCTTCTGGTTCTTACGTGCTGTCAACCTAGCATCACGTTGCATCATCAACGTCGTCCTAGTTGGTGGAACATGCGTTGACAACGTAGTATCAAGGATGTGGTTGTCAGAACGTTAATATCCCACCCCACCCCACCCCATATATATATATATACAAAACGCAAAAACGTGCAAAAAAACGCACAGGCCACCCGGCACGGCATAAGCAACTACCCAACTATAGAAATTGATTTAGTCTGGCAGATATGTGGTTAGATCCTTCATTTATGATTGTTCAGTTGAAAAACACTGCGGATGTCCCATTGCCGATCATTTACCCAGGTCTTCTGAAAATCAGGGCAGGAACACAGGTGAAATTTGTGTCTTTATTTTTTGGTGGTTCCAAATCAGAATCCCCATCATTGATTTATATCACATTGCTGGTTGGTGCTTTGCAACATGAATTTTATGAATGTCGGCGGATTGGGAATTTCATCATCCCAACTGACGAACTCATATTTTTCAGAGGGGTAGGTATACCACCAACCAGACATGTGTTTTGGGGATTGTTTTACCTTGTTTGTCAAACAGTTACTTTGATATGTGCTATATCAATGGGCTATTTATAAATGACCATCATTGGTTGTTTTATTTGTGGCTCGTATCCGCATTTCCGTTGCTTGTCATCGCTATGGACCACGGACCAGCTGTGACTCCCATTTCGGTTTTTGACGTCCGAGGTCTTGCAGGAGTGGGACAAGAACGGCGATAAGGCACTGCCTTGGGAACTACCCTCTGGTAAACAGCCACATAACTATTGAAAACGGCCATAGGAATAGTTGATTTACCCATTAAAAATGGTGATTCCCAATAGTTATGTTCGTCATTACCAGAGGGTAGGATGAGTCTGCTCCAGTCGGGGTGATGTCACATCTGGGACCATGGGATGGCAGTCAACCACAAACATGGCTCTGTTTTTTTTCCAGACAATATCTGGTTAATGGTTTGGAACAATGGAATTTTATGACTTTCCATCCAGTTGTGAATTTCATCATCCCAACTGACGAACTCCATCATTTTTCAGAGGGTAAGTATACCACCAACCAGACAATATCTGGTCAGTATGTTGTTTGAACAATGATCTCCAGACAGGGTAATATTTTTTGTGGTCGCTGAACTGAAGGCATTACGCTCACTTAATAGTAAAATGGTCGCTGTGCGTCAGAACTAAACGCCTGAGAATGCTGGTGAAAAGCATCATGATACATGGTGGCCCCTTCCAGTTAGAAGTCTGTTTATAATTAACTCACTTGTTATTTTCCATAATATAGGGAATAATACTCCCATTTGACAATTTTTGCAGAGGGGTAGGTCAGCCACCAACCAGTTAACTCACTCTATTATTCACCGTTTAGATATCTATCAATGGATTGGCTTAGGGGAAAATTTACAGGAAAACCCCATCGAAGGAAGTTTACAAGTCAGACTTCCGACAATATGGACAGATGAAAAGCAGAGATGGGAAGAGTCGGAGAAGAGAAGAGAAGAAGAAAGAGAAAGAGTCAGAAGAAAGAAGATGAAGATGCGCGAAAAGGTAGGAAAGTCGCGAAACACTTTGTTTTTCCAATGATTTGTGGCTCCGGAGGGTCGAAAAGTAGGCTCGCTAAAGCGGCGGGTGCGGAGCCATCTGGTGAGATGAGAGATGAAAAATTGCACGCCGTTGTGGTGCGAAGCACATTTCCAAGTCAAAATGTACAAAACACACCAGGTTCGGACCACTTTTGGAAGTTGCATTGTCAAAAAAGCGCACGCCGTTGGGGCGCGAAGCACATTTCGAAGTCAAACTGTTAAAAACACCAGGGATTCGGACAACTTTTGGACGTTCAGATGTCGTTTCGCCTGGCAGGCGCAAGGGATTGTGCACCTTCTCAAAAGTGAGCAAAATGTGAGGGTTTTATAACATTTCCAAAAACGATGGCTGGCGTGGGACATTTGAAGAGGATCTGCAAAGATGCATTTCGCGTGGCAGGCGCAATACACAAGACATGTTCATCAGAGATGTTAGGAGGTCAGGGCGCTGATTTCCTGAGAGGGGTTGCATTTTGGAGCATCAGAACTGTAGGTTTGCAAAAGTTGGTTCCTGATTAGTGTGAGGCCCCCCCCTCTAAACAATATCTGGACTCTCTTTAAAGTGGAAAGTCAAAATCATTCTTCCCAAGAGAAAAACAAATCCTCACTTAAGTAAGGATTTCAATTGGCTACAATTGAAATCTAATTAAAACTGTTTTTTGCGGATGAGAGAGAGAGAGAGAGTAGGTAGGTAGGTAGGTAGGGAGGCAGGGAGGGAGGTAGGTAGGTAGGTAGGTAGGTAGATAGTCAGAGAAAGAAAGAAAGAGAGGAAGAGAGAAGACCTCAACCACCTGTCGGTCCATCAGTGGCTTCGCTCTGCCATCCGTGATTCACAACAACCAACCTCTCCTATAGGTTTCCTATTTTTGAGACTTCCGCCACCGCCTCGTGCGGTACTACTGGTATTTAACGGTTAAAAAAACAACATGGTTTCCGGCAAATTTTCCCTTAAACCAATCCATTGAATCTAGCACAAACCTCATTTAACCTAGGTGTAAAGCAACTTAGCCGCCTGTTGGGATCACTAGCGAAAATTCTACCCCAACAATCAGGAGGTCCAAAGTATGCCAAGGTATACCCTCTGGTTTGACATATATGGAACATGGACCATTTATATCCATTTAGTCCGCATGAGATGACTTTTATGTGTGACTGCGAGTCAGATGTGAAAAAAAATGACAAGCAATGTCCAGGCCAAGAGGTTTCATGAAAACGTTTTCGCTCCGGAGTTCAAGAAGGAAGAGCAAGTAGACCTACTAGTGGCCGGCCCGCCATGCCAACCGTACTCTTCTGAAGGCAAACGGCAGGGTAGCAGAGATCCCCGAGCAAAGGTTATATACCCCATTGTGGGGTATGCCGAGGAGCGGAAACCCTTGATGTTGCTGCTTGAAAATGTTCCACAATGGCAAACAGTGGGACAAAATGTTTTCGATGAAGTTCTGGCCAGACTTCGTGCCATCTCAGATGGAGCAGGAGGCCATTGCTACAACGTATATATTGGAATTCTACGGTCTGAAGATTTCGGGAGCATGTCCAACAGAAAGCGACTGTATGTGGTCGAAGATTTATGACGATTCACCTAGTAAATTGTGATTTTCCAGTTGTTACGTTAAACAGCCAAATGGTATGTCGGCATATCTATCATAGATTGATACTAAAATGGTTCCTCCGGAGCTCCAGTTTTTTTTCCAAAAACACAAGGATGTGCATCTGGGTTTTTCAATCCCATTGGAGGTGGGGGGTGTTGGGAGCATCCCTGTTAGGGAACCAACAATTCCGTAAACATTTATGACTAAGGGAGATAAAAATTAATGACATTCCAAATGTTTTAATTGATGAATTATAAACATTTATGACTAAGGGAGATAAAAATTAATGACATTCCAAATGTTTTAATTGATTAATTCATCAAACTATTCAATCCCCAAACTACCAAAAACAATACCCAGCTCTGGTTGAATTGATGAATCGTTGTTAGAGTTCACCTAGAACTAAGTCTTCATGACTATCATTGGATTGGTTTACGGAAAAAAAAATCATCCCGAAATTGGCCTAACCAGTTGAGTTATTTGAAAAAGTGAAATTTGATCGCCAGATTCTATTGGTTTGATGGCAAAGATATGGTATAATTTTAATTTTAATATCTATCATATAACTGGTTTGGTATAATTCAGTTCTTTGACTTAGAACAACCAACTATATTTTAAGTCCAAGCAGGTTAGTCATAGTTTGGTAAATAGTTTGCGTAGAAAGTTTACAGATCCAACACCATCCCACTGGACAGGCGCTGTGTGTGGCAGAAGTGAAGAATGCCGCCAGCGTCACCGACGGAAAGATCTCCTTGTCGTCGCTGGATCCCGGTGCGCCCACGAGTGCCTCGATGAAAAATGTAGGTGGTTGCAGGATGGGGCCCCGGAACTAAGTTGAGAATAGTTGAGATATGGATACCCTCTGGTAAACGTACAAAAAACTATGGAAAATCACCATGGTCAATGTGTAAACCCACATAAATGGCAATTTTCAATAGCTATGTTAAATTACCAGAGGGTAAGTGGCTGAATGAACCATGGTTTATGGTAGATATAACGAACTCGTATTCATGGGGTGAATCTAAACCAACATTCACATCACTGGGGGGCACCATCCTGTGATGATGTTTATGTCTATGTTCAAAAAATGGATAGCTCAAGATGAATCAACACCGATTTGTTGGGAACATAATCATGTTTAATCATCATATGGGGATATATTGTGATAATTTATGATATAAATCATGTTTTGTTGGTGTTTGGTTTGGGTGTTATACTATCCAGTATACTGTGGATTATCACAATCCATGATGGGAAATCCTGTAAACCAGCCAGAACAAAAGGAACACATTTGACTATGTTTCTTGACACTGCTCACATGGGATATTTTTTCCTGAAAAGGAGGGATTCTTGGTTTTCATCTTATTTAGTAAGTGGGTTATTACCCAAGTTGCAAGTGGATTATGCCTACTTATCCCTCTTGTAACCAGGGACAGTAGTTTTACCCTTATAAAAATTACGGATTCTTTACCCTCTGGTAATTTAACATAGCTATTGAACATGGCCCATTTATAGTTGATTTACCTATTAAAGATTTCTATTTTGCATAGCTATGTTAGTTTACCAGAGGGTAAAACCCATTATATATATATATATCGAATTCCATTTGTGCTGGGATGACGACGGCCCATCAATCGCATGTACGCTAGTACCTTGACTTTTTGATACTAATATTCTGAAGTTTTAAAGGGGATGATCTGGATATGATGTGGCATAAATGGGGATTCTTAACCAACAAACGTATGGGTTTAACGGTTTAACCAACAAAACATGGGGCTGTAAAGACTCAAATAATGGCTGTAAAAGTGGATGGACTGTAGCCACACGCAACTAGATGTCATTCTTGGCAGCGGATCAACACATCACCAACAAACTCATATACCAAGAGGGTATTACCCTCTGGTAAACTAACAGTTTGCTATGGAAAATCACTATTTTTTAAGGGTAAATCAACTAAAAATGGGTCATTTTCAATAGCAAGCTGTCAGTTTACCATAGGGTAACGAACAGTAGCAGGGTATTCGCCTACATCAAGTGGTGGTCAGACCTCAAGGGGAGGTAGATTGCTGGATTGATCAACTTGGGTCCTTTTTCGCAATTCGACGTGGCTTACAAGACCTAACCGGTTGAATCTCCAACCAAGCTGGATTGGTGATTCCCCAGGTCTTTTCGGGTCTGCAGAGACGTGGATTAAGCTAACCCAGCTTGCTGGAACATGCCCCTTAATAGCAATACTGAATAGTATTTACCCTCTGGTTATTTAACATAGCCATGGAAAATCACCGTTTTTAATAGGTAAACCATCTATAAATGGGCCATTTTCCATGGCTATGTTAAATAACCAGATGGTATATATCTGACAAACTCACTGCGACCTTGCTGGAGTGATGCTGAATGTGTGGGGGAATCATCCCCAAATGCTGCCGCTTGGGGGCCTTTCTTAAGTTGAGTGGTTTCAACAGACTGTAGCTGTCACCAAAAACCAAAGAAGGACGTCCTCACCTCAACTGGAGGATCATATGGTTGGACCAGTCAGTTGACTTGCAACAGGCGACAGTACTTGCTGCAAAGATTCCTGAAGGAGCTGGTCTGGTCTCCCAGCAGAATCGTTTGGCACTAAGGGTCCCGAAGGGTGCTTTTGGCAATGCCTGGAAGACACTCTTCCTTGCGACACCACAACCTGAGGACATTGACACCTTCGGGGTCTACAAAGTGGAATGCCTGCCATACGGTGTGACCAGTAAGATGTTGTCAGCATGGTCGACCCATTATTCATGGAAAGCCAAACCACTGCGTGCCATGGGCCCTCGTGCTTGGTTGCTTGGCACCAGTCAAGAGCCATCCGGTGTGACTATGCATTTCAACGGAAGTCCAGTCCTGATCCGTGAGCTCAAGGCCAGAATGCAGAATCCAAGCAATCCGATCATTGCAGGACCAAAGCCGACAATGCAGCCCACCAGCACTGGGGCCAACAGTGGCCCTTTGCTCACAGATCAATGGGCCAATTACACTGGACCAAAACCAAGTCCCAGTGCCAGCAATGGGGCAGGTAATGCAGCCGTGGCTTCGATTCCCAATATGTGTTGGGTATCCCCTACCTGCTAGTATAGTTTGTTGATATTGCAAATATTTATCTGGTTGGTGGTTTCAAACATTTTTCCAAAAATATATGGGATAATCCTTCCCATTGACTAATATTTTTCAAGATGGTTAAAACCACCAACCAGTTATACGTTGACTTATGTTTTTTTTGTTTTTTTCCGGGGTATTTCCCTATGCTGGCTGCGTGTGACATTGCATCTTATGCTGTTGGTGAATATACGTTGGTGCATAGACAGCCATACATACATATAAACAAGTTGTTGCCACATATTTGGTGTCATTTGTGCACATATACATGCATCATGCATAAGTATGTGTTCCATTCACAGGATCCAGGATACATATGTGTGTATATATATATATATTATAATCATCCTGAAGTAGATAGAACATGAAATCTTCAACATGATTCCCATCTTAGTTTGTTGTTCGTACTCTGCCTACTCCAGGATGACTATATAGATAGACATACACACACATACATCTCATCATCTCTTGATTGTTCAGACAACATGAAACCGAGGTATTCTCAAAGCTTCTCGGCTGGAGCAGCGAAGGGTGCTGAAGGATCAGGACTTTTGGAAAGAACTGCCATGTCCCATGTTGGGATTAACAGGGATATCCCAGATATCAGATATAGTGTAGCAAACTCTAGAACGATTCTGAAAAGGTGAAAAAATACCACAATTTGATTTGGATTCTCATATTTTGTGTCAAAAATGGGTTTGCTGGTTCACGTACATCATCGGCTGTTTCACGCCTTCTTTTCAATCCCTCTCTCCAAACTTAGGGATGAATCACTCAAGATTTCCCGTTTGGTAATTGAACAAGGGATGAATCACTGTAATCACTGTTTTCAATGGCAATGAATTACTGTAATCTTAAGTAGTTAGTTATCTTAATTCAATTACATCCATCAAGTAATCCCTGGGATTAATCCCAGCACTGTTTTCAAGGCCTCGTTTGTGGATGACTTGCTGTCCTGGTGATTGAACTCCTTCAGTGAACTTCGGTAACACCGGACTAATAGAGAAATCCCAGACCAGCACTGCAGCACTGCCAGGGAATTCCACAGGATGCCCTCTAGTTATTTAAGGTAGCGAACTGGAAAATCACCACGTTTTAGTTTAAATAGATTTTTAGCATCATAAATCAGAAGTGGGCCAGTTTCCATGGCTACCAGTATATTAAATTACCAGAGGCCGCCAGTTTTTCTATCATAGACAGCCCCTCGAAGGGACGGCAAGTCTGTGGAATAATTGCATCGCCATCCCGCCATGGAAGTGACGGGCGGAGATTAGTGTTTGCTGGATAGACATGGGTGACTGGTTGGTGGTTTGGAACATTTGTTTCCATATATATATATTGGGAATTTCATCATCCCAACTGACTTTCATATCTTTCAGAGGGGTAGGTATACCACCAACCAGGTGAATGATTTGGTTTTGTTTCAGATCACATCATATCTAAGCCATGGGGAAGTTCACATGGCACAGTCAAAAAAATTGGGAATTTATATAAGTTATGCCCATTTTTTCAGGGGCAGCGAAAGCCGTCCTAGAGTCTGAGTTTCCTTGATGGTACCGCATTGCCTGGCTGATGGCTGAGCACGGAGGGGTTCCCAATGGTTCCCACATAGGCCGCTGAGCTGAACAATGTGCTCTCGCAGCTCAGGGGGCGTGCCGCCCGAGGCATTCCCTGCTCTCCTTGATGGAAAAATCCAGGTGTACGACGCGAGGAAGCAAGCGGTACCATAGTCAACTGTGCAAAACACTTTTGCGGTGGAATGGAACATGATGTAACATGATGTAGCATGATGTAACATGATGTAACATGATGTAACATGATGTAACCGGTTTCAGATGGATGGCTAGTTGATGTGATCCTGTGAAACTCCCTCTTTCGAGGATACGGACAGGTTGGGAAGTTTAATGCAACTATGGGAAATAATCATATATTTCTGTTTTACGATATTATATTACTGTATAGTATTATAATTAAACTATATTTATCCATTATATGATCATTATATAAATATATATATATATAGAGATGTGTTAAAACATCCTTGTGGGGATCCAGCAACCCCATGTTCGACAAGATTATCATTAAAGTTCCATCATTTTGTAACACTGTTGGGCATCTTTTGGGCGGGGTTACTATATGGGGGGTTCCTGAACATGGGTGATACCCAATAGCTGGATGGTTTATTTCAGGGAAAATCCCAATCTAAAATGGATGAGAACTGGTGGTACCCCTATTTTAGGCAACCCCCATATTTACCAAATAAAATTAAATACGCAGTGTGTCTACAGGAAGGCCCTCCGTTTGGTTTGTTGGTTTCTCGCCCTATCCAACTATGCTTCAAATATATCCATCAGAAATCCATCCTTTATCATCCAACATTTGATCATTCTTTGGTCGTTAAATCCGACTGTAGATATCAACATACATCTATAAAATCCATATAGGTGCCATGGTCAAACTAGTTTCCCATACAAGGCGATGGTCATTATTCCATGAATAAGGATTCATCATATGCTCATTGTACAATTTTGTAAGGAATCCAAGTCATGTCGGTAAAATGATCATATTCCACCAATCATAGAATACAGTTATGGCCCTTTACCAGTTGTAAGTACTTATAACCCCATTTATAGAGTGTATAACCCCATTTATAACCAGCTATAACTCATAAACGGCCATAACTGTAGGTGTGTTGTGTCCCTTTTTCTATCCCACAATATGTCCACATTACTGAATCATATCCACATGAAAACACCATAGCGCGTACCGTGGATGGTTGCAAAATCCTGCACCAGTGTGTTAGCTAAGTTGATGAGCATAACTCCAATGAATAGGGTCTAGACGGCCTATGGTAGATATTATAGATTAATATGTCCACATGAGTCAATTATATCTCAACAGGATGGGGCCCCCGTTCGATAGATAAGTTGAGATATGGCTGTGACTGAATACTATGGTTTATGGTAGATACAACTAACATAATATGAATGCAACCTATCTAAGCCTATCTATATGGTTTATAACTAGTATAACAAATATAACTATAGTATTCATAGGCTTTATAAACCATGTTCCCATCAGTTTCCCATAGAATTCTATTTTTTCCATGGTATTCATGGGTAGTTCATCTAAACCAACATGGCACCATCACGTTGGCACTGAGGTTTGTTGGGAACTCTTCGTGGCGGCGCTGATTTTGTACTTTTTGGCCTGGGGATCTCAGTGGGGTCAGTTACCATGGCTTTAAACAAATGGTTTTAAAAAAATGGGTTAGCTATGGTTTATCATGAAGTAATAGGGTTATAATGGAATAGTTATAATGGTTAATTCAAATGGGTTTTAAAAAGGGTTTATCATGGTTAGTTCATAGTTGAATGGAATAGTTATAATATATATATAATGGTTAATTAGTAGTTGATGGAATAGTTATACTGGTTAATTCATAGTTGATGGAATATTTTTCATAAAGATACCCTCCGGTGTCATCAAACATGGCGGGCCGCTGGGAAATCCCCGAGCTAGCCATGGAGGTTAAGGGCCTGCTGGGAAAATCATCAAACTAAATGGTACCCTCAGGTAAGCTACCAGTAGTACCGCACAAGGCGGTGGCGGAAGTTTCAAAAATAGGAAACCTATAGGAGAGGTTGGTTGTTGTGAATCAGGGATGGCAAAGCGAATCCACTGATGGACCGAAAGGTGCTTGAGGTCTCCTCTCTGTCTCTCTCTTTCTCTGACTATCTACCTACCTATCTATCTTCTATGTATCTATCTATCTATCTATCTCTCTCTCTCTCTCTCTCTCTCGCTTTCATCTAATTACCTATCTACCTATCTACCTATCTATCTATCTAACTATGTATCTATCTATCTATCTATCTATCTCTCTCTCTCTCTCTTTCTCTCTTTCATCTAATTACCTATCTACCTATCTATCTATCTATCTATCTATCTATGTATCTATCTATCTATCTATCTAACTATGTATCTATCTATCTATCTATCTATCTATCTCTCTCTCTCTCTCTTTCATCTGTCTATCTGTCTATCTGTCTAGCTGTCTACCTGTCTATCTATCTATCTATCTATCTGTCTATCTGTCTATCTGTCTATCTGTCTATCTGTCTATCTGTCTATCTGTCTATCTGTCTATCTGTCTACCTGTCTACCTGTCTACCTGTCTATCTGTGGTGCAGTGTCATTCAGCGTATTGTAGTGTAGTGTAATTTAGTGTAGTGTAGTGGAGTGTAGTGGAGTGTAGTGGAATGTAGTGTAGTGTAGTGTAATGTAGTGTAGTGTAGTGTAATTTCGTGTAGTGGAGTGTAGTTGTGTAGTCGTAGTTGTAGTTGTAGTGTAGTGGAGTGTAGTGTAGTGTAATGTAGTGAAGTGTAGTGAAAGGTAGTGTAATGTAGTGTAGTGGAGTGTAGTGTAGTGTAGTGGGGTGTAGTGTAGTGTAATGTAGTGTAGTGTAATTTAGTGTAGTGGAGTGTAGTGGGGTGTAGTGGAGTGTAGTTGTGTAGTTGTAGTTGTAGTGTTGTGGAGCGTAGTGTAGTGTAGTGTAATGTAGTGTAGTGGAGTGTAGTGTAATTTAATGTAGTGTAGTGTTGTGGAGCGTAGTGTAGTGTAATGTAGTGTAGTGAAATTTAATGTAGTGGAGTGTAGTGGAGTGTAGTCTAGTTGTGTAGTTGTAGTTGTAGTGTTGTGGAGTGTAGTGTAGTGTGATGTAGTGTAGTATAGTCGAGTGTGGTGTAATGTAACGTAGTGTAGTGTAGTGAAGCGAAGCGGCGAAGCGACATCTGAACCTCCAAAAGCGGTCCGAACCCGTAGTGTTTTGTACATTTTCACTTCGAAATGTGCTTCGCGCCACAAAGGCGTGCACTTTTTCGACATCTGAACCTCCAAAAGTGGCGCGAACATGTAGTGTTTTGTACATTTTCACTTCGAAATGTGCTTCGCGCCACAACGGCCTCGCACTTTTTCGACATCTCAACTTCCAAAAGTGGTCCGAGAATGGTGTGTTTTGTACATTTTGACTTCGAAATGTGCTTCGCGCCACAACGGCGTGCACTTTTTCGACATCGCAACTTCCAAAAGTGGTCTGAGCATGGTGTGTTTTGTACATTTTGACTTGCAAATGTGCTTCGCGCCACAACGGCGTGCACTTTTTCGACATCTCAACTTCCAAAAGTGGTCCGCGAATGATGTGTTGTGTGCATTTTGACTTCGAAATGTGCTTCGCGCCACAACCGCGTGCAATTTTTCATCTCTCATCTGGCCAGCTGGCTCCGCACCCGCCGCTTCAGCGAGCCTACTTTTCGACCCTCCGGAGCCCCAAATCATTGGTAAAACACAGTGTTTCGCGACTTTCCTACCTTTTCGCGCATCTGCATCTTCTTTCTTCTGACTCTTTCTCTTCTACCCTTCTCTTTTCTAATCTTTCTCTTCTCTCTGCCTCTGCCCTGCTCTGCTTTTCATCTGTCCATATTGTCGGAAGTTTGACTTCTAAACTTCCTTCGAACAGTTTGCTATTGAAAATGGCCATTTATAGTGGATTTACCCATTAAAAATAGTGATTTTCCATAGCTATGTTAGTTTACCAGAGGGTATATTTTCCAGCAAGCCATGTTTGATTACCAGAAGGTATACAAACCCCCCTGGTCATTGGTGATGGCAAGGGAAAATTGGTGGAAAAAGGTATGGAGCATCGAGGAAAATCATGAAACGCATGAGAGGGACATCATATGCACGTATCTACAAATATGATTATGGTATGTAAATCATAGTTATTGAATCAAATTGGCGGCTTGCGGGGGGTTCAAGGGCATTCAACATGAGTACAACCCTTGAACATCCTTGGCTTATTTGGGATCCAAAATCTTCCAAAGAATACTTCTGTGCGTCTTGGAATGGGGGATACCCCGACATGGGCAATCTCTAAAAGGTGGTGGCCCCCCCAGTGATGTGAAGGTTGGGTTTGTAAGCCCCATATAGTAGTTCAATATATCTACCATAAACACAAGCTATTGAAGTAACCCACTTTTATTGCACATTTGTTCCGAAAATGGGCAATCCAAAGCCAAAAAAGATGGCAATTCGAATGGGAAGTTCACCAGAATCAATCCATGGAATTTGAGAAATAATTACCCTCTGGTAAACTAACATAGCTACTGAAAATTGCCAATTGATAGTGGATTTACCCATGAAAAAATTGTGATTTTCAATAGTTATGTTAGTTTACCAGAGGGTACCCCATGTTCAGAGAGGGAACGCCCATGTCTTTCATTGCTCCACCAGGTCTCCATCATGAACCAAATGGCTCAGTCCAAACAGGTTCGGTGAACCGGCGAAGTTCGGCGAATGGGGAGTGAAAGGAAGGACCGGGATATGCGAAGATTTTGGGGAAAAACACATCGAAAGCCATCGAAAGCCATCGAAAGCTGGTGGGTTCTTCATTTTGTAGGAAGTGATTCTCCCATATCCAGTGACGTGGTTCGCACTCAAAAAATAGTGTACTCCTAAATCCATTTGTTACTAAATCATGTTTCTTGTTAAGACTGCCATTTGGGGGATATACTCGATATACCCAAGCCATCCCAATCCCATAATAGTACAGATCAATCCTACCAATTGAAGTTATTTGTATCAACCGAAAACCCCACAGAGCGCCCCAAAGTGACTGTCGCCGATTCCAGGCCGAATACGATGAAGCCAAAGTGGAAGAGCGAACCTGGCGAATGGTTAGTGAAGTGGATGGATATTGTTGGTGAACTATCAGCCAGGAAGCCTGAAAGTCGTCATTTATCTAGATATATTTATATAGGGGATTATACCGCTGAATACCACTTATACAACTGGATTCTAGATAATCAGATATTTAGATTATGAATTATTGATGATTATAGCAAGCCACATGAATTTAGTTACATCACATGATGCCCTGGATGGATTAGGCTAGCTATACACAAGATGTTTAGCCCACACTTGGGACCAGGATAGTGGGGATTGCGTAGTTTTCATAGCCTGTTGGCATTATTGGATCATCCCCACTACCCTCTGGTAAACTAACATAGCTATAGAACATCAACAGTTTAATAGGTAAAACATCTATAATCCATGTTCCATAGCAAACTGTTAGTCATTACCAGATGGTTTTATGTAATCATATAGTGTATAAATATGTATAAATGACATACTGGTTGGTGGTTTGGAATGGCTTTGTCCAAGCTATTTACATGGCCATTTTCAGGCCGGCTTTTTGTATACCAGGCCGGGTATCGAAAAATCCGGCTCTTTGGATTCCTTGGGAGATCTTCAGGATCGAGCTACGTGTTTACGTACCATATTTCTGGCCTTATTTTGTAGGAATATTCCATTTTAGATTGGGATTTTCCCTGAAACAAACCATCCAGCTATTGGGTACAATGTGAGGCCCCCCAGTGATGTGAATGTTGATTTATAAACCCCATGAATACCATAGTTGTTTGCGTATGATATTCCATAGTTATTGGACTTATGTGAACCCCAACTTAGCTATCGTTTGGGGGCCTCACATTGTAGGGATATTCCCTGAAACATAGGCCCAAAAAATAAATAGACCTCATATACGCTAGGTACGAGTATACCTCCAATGAATCGGTTCCTGTTGCATGGCCCTTGATTGGATCATGATGAGTTCCCTTCCCGACATTGTGGGACAAGCCATCGATGATGTATCCCACTAAGCTGCTATTCGTTGCAGGGTACCCTCTGGTTATGTCAAAATAGCGAACTGGAAAATAGACCATAGAAACAGTGGATTTACCCACTGAAAATGGTGATGTTCCATAGTTATGTTAGTTTACCAGAGGGTATCTAATGTTTGCTATCACAACAAGAAACGGAACCATGATGTGAAACATCACGAGTGAAGATGCAAAGGTTTCAAAGGTTGTTTCAAGTTGCTGAACATCATAAAAATAGCCACCATTATCAAACATTGGCATCAATATAGGAACATACAAAAACATCAAAGGAAAATTTGAGTGCTGGAAATGCAGCCAGAACACGCCAATCCTGACATGTTTATTGTGTATCAGAAACGGGCTGTGTGGACAGTTTGCATGGGTGCCAGAAAATGGGGATATCATCCCCAACCTGGTGTAGAAACCAGCCTGGGATAGGTATAGACACTAGTCCTCTATAGTTTTTTTCTATGGAATTATCACCAGCCATAACCAGCAAAAGATGCCGTGATTTTTTTCTGGACCATCAAAGATTGACCATGATGTCCCCAAGATGTTTTTTTACAGTAACCCCAAATTGCAACGGAAGCCTCGTATCCTCGTTGCACATGTGATGCTTGAGTTGCTCAGCTCCGCATTGTCCAGGCTAAGAATGGGATAAGATGCGCCAGTCGAAAGCATTGTGATTCAATGCGGTGACATATGGACCATATGTTTTTCCCTCAACCACCTGCTGGTTGATGGACTTACCCTCTGGTAATTTATTACAGTTTGCTAATGAACATGGCCATTTATAGTTGATTTACCCCGCTGTAAAATGGTGATTTTCCATAGTTTTTTGTATGTTTACCAGAGGGTGCCAACTATATAGGATTACTTATGATCTGTGGGATTATCCTCCAAGTAGTAGGGTTACCCTAACGCTTTTGTTTCAATCCACGGTCTTGTCTGACACCCACGGGTAATTAATTCAAGGCGATTCCCAGTATATTCCCACTCTCTCTATCTCTCTCGATCCGATTGTCAACAGAAAACTTGCGTTACCCCCTCTCTTGGCAGGTTGAAGAAAAAATCCAAGAAGAAGTGAATTCCTCTTGGAGCAACAGAGCATGGCGGCCTGGGTGTCATGATACTGGGCAAACATTGATCAAAACATCGCTGAATTTAAGATATTAAGGACATCTATTGCCATATTTCAGGAAACGAAATTGGAGGTACCTACCATATATAAGGCCTATGTAAGGGAATGTCCCCACACAATATGGCCTTACATGATACAGTTTACCTACATTTTAGGGTCCTGAAATTCCCAATAAACATATGCCATCAATTGATGGCGATTCAACCAAGGTGACATAAGTTGACCAACCCCGAAGAATTTCTGGTTTTCAGGGCTTATGAACCAACAAGCACTGAATTTGGGATGGCTTCACCGGCGGCTGGTTCATCAAGTTGGATCCATTGCATTAAGGGGCACAGAGGGACCGATCCTGGAACCATCCCCCTGTTGATTGTACGGGGTTATACTAGAATATGTGTATAATGCTATGGTTATATGATAGAATAAACATATTACATTGTGGGGCCCCCGTTTTCGAGAACGCTAAGTTGGTTAAGTTGGGGTGAACATAAGTCCAATTTCACTGGGGTTTATTATACGCAAATAACTGCAGTTAATGGGGTTTATTAACCAACTTATAACTGGGGGGGCTTGCCACATTGTACGTATAATGTGGCAAGCCTAATGATAAACCATCCCCAACATATTTTCAGATTTTATGGATGGTAACATCTAGAGGTAACATATGGTAGCCGCTTCATCCCGAAATGGTACAATGTGAGGCCCCCTAGATAGCTAAGTTGGTTAATAACTCCAATAACTATGGAATATTAATATTATACTTATAGCTATAGTTATGGGGGTTTATAAACCAACTTATATCTGGGGGGGCTTGCCACATTGTAGGTTCATGGCAGGACCACATTTTCTGTGCTAGAAACGATTACAAGCCAGCCACTCACCTCCACCCGTGCGGCTGAAAAAGATATGTCACCCGTGATGCGACGGCATCCAGACAGGGTCGAGACGCGCGCAGATGTCTCCGCCTACATGTCGAGAAGGATGTTTTGTTGAGAGGTAGGGATGGATTATGATGAATTCCGTGGATAAAGATGCGGATAGCAAGCAGAATGGTGAGATAGTGGGATATAGTGAACTGAGATTGATGGGATATGACTCAATGATATGAAGGTTGCCACAAAATGGCTGATAATATCATGATAATTGCCTCAATTATTGTCTTGTTAGTCGGAAAAAAATGACAAGCCTTTGGGTTCTTGAGTTCTAGATTTTGGAACAACTCCATAGTTGCTGGGTGTTTATGGAAAGTGTTTGTGGAAAGACAGCCTGTGCTCTGGGAACCTCTCCATGCACAGCTCTCGACATGTTGGCACCTTGTGCAAAGCGAGGCAGCTGGCTCTCGAGTCAATTCACGCCACTGGCGCTGGGGGGTTTATCCTCCCGATTCATCAGTACAGTAGTTTCATGACTCCTTGGTGGCTTCAAGTATTGTTCTATCCTGCTGTCAACATAAAATAAGTTAGGATGAGTCTCAAATTCTGTCGACTTGAATTTTGTTCCTATTGTGAGTCAACTGAGCCATTGACAATTCCCATGTCCCTTGTTTAATTATTGGGAATCATTGAATATTGCATGGCTCGACAGGGTCCGTGGCAGTGAAGACATCACAATACTTTGCGCCGCCAAGCAGATGAGTGCGACAACCAAACCCTCTTGAGGCCGTTCTGGTAACGTTTATAAATGCCAATGGTTTTCACGGGTTGCTGAGTCACTGTTCATGCTGCAAATGGAAGAAAAAATATATGAGTAATCATGAGTATATGATATATAGATATCATAATAAAGTGTGGTAAAGTCGCAAACACAATCATGCATTTAAAGGATATTGGAATCCAAGGTTTGGTCAGGATGTTACTTCAGAAGCGGTTCCCTTTTTTTGAAGAGTCTAGCAGCAAGTAGCTAAGATGAATTGTTGCAATTGATCATCTACTCAATGGCCATTTCAGGAACCTAAATTGAAGGTACCTACCATATACTGTATTTTTGGCCTATAAATTTCAGGCCTAAATTTCAGGGAATATCCCCAGAAAATATGGCCAGAAATATGATACTAACGTACCTACATTCTCGGGTCCTGAAATACCCGGTATGATCTACATGAAATTTCCCATTTTTCAGCCTCCGAATTAGTTCGGACTTCCCAAGCAAACCCAGTTGGCTACAGAGCGTGGGGCCCCCATTTACGAGAACGCTCAGTTGGGGTTCACATAACTCCAATTTCACTATGGTTTATTATGGTTTATTATACTTATAACTATGGTTAATGGGATGTTATACTTATAACTATGGTTAACTCCAATTGCAGTATGGTTTATTTCTTTCACTAGTGTTTTCGGGCTTTATGAACCAACAAACATCACTGAGGGGCCCCACATTCTACTTGAAATTGTGGTACTTGATATTCCTCTTTCCCAAGCCTTTCGCGGAAAGCCAAATCACCTTGAGAGGGTGGCGTTTTGCTCGCTCACTCGCTCTCATGATAGTTCGAACGCAAGGTATAGCGTGGTGGACTCCTACCGTGTCACTCTGGGCACAAAACGGCAAGGCTATTGGTATTTGTTGCGCATGGAGAGGGGCTAACGATGTGATGAGATATCTCGTGAAATCGATGATTTAGAGAAACGGAGGCGTATCAATCCTATGATTTGTGCGGATTACTATAACTTGTGAACTGCGCAATCACTATAATAGTGAGCACCGGAAGAGCACCAGAAAAAAGCACGATAAAAGGTGAAAAAAACTGCGTTTCCTTTTCCAAGTAGACTGTGATGATAGAATACATAAATTTCATAAATCTTCAACCCTGAAACAAAATGGTCTTCGGTAAAATCAACCGGGTTAGCAACAACCAAATTATACTTTGTCTTTGGAAGCACCCTTGACGTTTCACTTGGTCACCAAATTATGCCATGTTTTGGCAACCAAAAACCTGATTTTTGTAAACTCCGATACTGGCTGCAAGCATTGGGTGGCACTATAATTTATAGATATATACCTATCTTGAGGGCCGTATATTGTAGGTAATGATAAGTCATTAATGATAATATGGCCAGGACAAAGCCGTATCTTGATTGAGCTAAACCACCGTTGCTGGCGCAGGACTACCGCGACCTTTGCGTACATTTCTTGGAACGTTGGGTGACCTAAGTTCTCGAACCGACCCCCTGTGGTGGTGCCCACTTCTTCACAAAGGTAATGGCCGACATCGGCAGAAAAGGCATGTTGTTTCTTTTCACGGACATTCATAAATCACATAAGCTAAAGTCATGTTTGCGATGAACTACAAGGTGCTCCAGGTCGATAGCTAAGTTGGTTTTTAACTCCAAGAACTAGGCTTTATGATAGATAATATACTTATAATGGATCTTCATGGGGTGTATCAACCAACGAACATCACTGGGGGGCACCACCTTGTAGAGATATCCAGAGTGATGGTAATGGTATGTGAAAAAATGACTGGTTTAAGGTTCCACCCACGTAAGGAGTTCATAAGCAAGTCATGACCTATGTGCAGAATATCCTCCCTCACAATATATCCTTTGGTTATTTCACGTAGCTATGCAAAATCATCATTGTTTAATAGGTAAACCAGCAGGGAAACCATCTGGGCAAATTATAACGACCTCACTGCGACCTCATTGGGAATCATGGTTACTAAGGGGAATCATCCCCAAATGGCCTTAAGATTCAGGTTAGTGAAATATTATAATTTACCCAGAACCATGATTAAATCGTCTATAGATGAGCCATTTTCCATAGCTGTGTGATACTCAGCTACCAGTTGGGGATGATCTTTATGATCTTTGCAACCCATGTATGGTTATATTGGGCACGGGGTGTCTTTGAAATTGATTTCATTGGTAAAACTATGGGGTATATTGATGTATGAGTTCTTTAGTAATGTACCCAACAACCACAATTACCAGTGAGGATGTATTTCTATATTTCCAATGTACTTCAGATAATTTAACCATATTGTTAGAACAAAGTTCACTTTTCCTGGCTAGATTTCTAGTCCAGATATATAAGTTTACAAACTTTTTGTGGACTAAAAAATATGGCTACATCTGGGGCTACATATATATATATATACACCTTGATCCATAGATAGGGTCAAGGTATAGAATTGTACCATAGATATTCAATCAAGGTTGATTTACCCATAAAACCGTTGTGATTTTCCATGGTTTTTTGTATGTTTTCCAAAGGGGCTTGGCTTGGCCAACTTGGCCAACTGCTTCACCAGCTTTTACTGGGATCATCCCACAGATAGGTGGCGAACGGCAAGAAAAGTCACCCTGGTTGTCGCGTGCGTCCCCTTTCTTCGTGACTTATCCCAGGTATAACTTGTTGTTTCTATGGTTTACATCAATATACTGTAATTATGTCTATAGTTATGCCTAATAACATAGCTATAACATATTAACATGTTATAACTTTTGTTACAAGGGCTGTATAGTTGAAGGATAAATTGTGGCTACCTAGCAATGGGCTATCTATTTTGATATTTACTGGAAATCAATGGTGGGAATTGTTTAGGAAAGAACTAAATCATTGGTGATGTTACACGTAGATATGGTGATTTATAACTAATAGGCTGGGGACCTCAAACGATGGCAACATATATAGATAGTGTCCATCGCCAAGGCCAAGAGCCGCGTCCCGAGTTGCTGTTGGCCGTGCCGCCCCCGGCCTACAGCGACAGCGCTGACATTTTGAGCGAACCTCGGCGCCGGAGCAAACCTCGCAGCGGTGAAGCAGCGCAACGGAAGAACGGGGAGTTACAAGAACTCAAATATTGGGGGGTCTGACCAACAAAAATGTGGGAAATCCACCTATCAGTTTTGTCATACCCTTTGGTTATTTAACATAGCCATGGTATAGATGGCCCATTTAGTTCGATGGTTTACCTATTAAAAATGGGTGGATCTTTCCATGGCAAACTGTTAGTCATAACCAGATGGTAATTTATTGTGTTTATCCAACACATCCAACATGTGGATTT